TTTCATCTGTTTGAACGAATCAAACAAATTGGTTTGTGTTTATCGGTTTCACTTTCAGCATATTTTTATGGCGGTCATTACCTATTGGAGAATTTTAGGTTCTTTTATGAGAGATATAAAAACACATTTGTAATCACCTACACCTGTCTCGCTTGGTTTAGATCACGATACACATTGCGGGGAGAGCACACTCGTTTATCTCTATACTATAATAAAGAGGTAAAATTTGTAAGTTTGTAAGTTTGCTTGTATCTTTGGAACCGCTGGTCGGATTGCCAAATATCTTTAACAGATAGATAGTTACAATGTTCCTGAGTGCTATGGGCTATAAAACATCACGCTACGATGAAATGGAGCTGCGCAGCGGGTGAAACCGCGCGAGAGTAGCTAGTATTAAATACAATAATTATATTATTATTATAGCAATAAATGTTCCTAAAATTGTGTGCCATTAACTATTTCCATAACGAACAATATGTTGTTTTGTCGTAGTAAACAATATGTACATTATTATAATGACATCATCCTGAGTTCAGCAAGAAACCCATAATAGGCAGGCATCTTTTTTTATATTGACCAGCCCACAATCGGAAACTCGCTTAATTTTTAAAGGCACGCAGCGAAGAGCCTTATCGGAAAACGAGTTCTGTATGTTACGAAAAAAAAATGGAGCTGCTAGAGTCATGTCCTTTAGAAGTGCCATTTGAAACCACGGGAATTTGGAAATACCAAATATAGTTTTGGTTTATTTATTAAATGAAAACGTGTGGTGTTGTCAATGATGTTATTCAATACGTATTTTTAGTTAGCATTGCTTAAAGGTCGCATCATCAATGAAAAATTATTAGAAAAACCTTTGCATTCCTACCTTCCTCATGCTAAATGATACGTATAATAAAAATAGGTTTCTATCGCATTACAAGCAAATATTTTGTACGGAAAAACTTCGATTCGTTTTCTGGGTTTTTGCGAAGTCTAGACCGTCTCGAGATAACTTTAAACGATTTCCGGACGATTGACAATTTTATATATCGAATCTTCAATCGGTAAAGCTTCAACAAGAGTTCTACAAACATATTATTTCCTATATACTTATATCTGTTTAACGTTTATTGAGACTTCAGATTGTTACAACCCGGTGCCCTAGTAACAACGTGTCAATAGAAGCCAATCAAGCGCAATGTTTCTTCCGAGGACGTAATGACATAAAATCATTGCTCGACAACCACTAAGTATTGATCATTCACTAGTGAGCTTAAAACCTACATACTTAACGGCATAATTAGATTACTTAAAGACACTTCCGCAATAAAATAGACATTTAAAACTGCAATTACAAAAAATAACAGTACTTGCTAGAATTTATGTAGATTTGCTTCATCATTGGTCATAAAAGTAGGCTGTACTTGTGGATGAGGCTGAATATAATCAAAGTAACTGTAAAGCACTTTGGAATTGAAGGGAACGTACTGATTGATGTGTGAGGCCGTTTAATGAGATAAGTAATTGGTGGAGATAAAGAGGGAGCATTGCTGACTCTGCCACGAAACCAATGCATGGTTGATTAAAACTTGATTTTCGTTAATCGAGTACTTTATGGCTTTATTGCTGCGTGTACAATGTGTCTATGATTTGACTAATATTTCCCTTTCTTTTAGTACACGTAAGTAAACGTATTAGTATACAAACGATTGCAGATAAACATCTTATAGCATTATCATTTTACAATACCTTTATGAAACGATGACATAACACAATCTAAATGAAAATGCATACATTATTGATAGATAAGCATATCCAGAAAGGCGAAAGTTTCTGACTTGAGAATACCATTCGAGGAGAATACGTGACTTGCTAACTATGTAAATATGCAATAACAAACTGAAATATTGATTTTGTGCGGTGGGATTCAAAGGCAGTCTATAGGCATTTCTGCGGCTTATTCTTTGGTACATGAGAAACTACTTTTTGGGATTTTAGAAACGTAAGACGATGTAGAAGGTCGTCTGACGGATTTTCTAATCAATATCAGTAGCAATGTTTGTTGGCTGGGCTTACACCGCACTTGTGTTCGTTGTATCTGACTGTGGCCGCTATCCAGGTCGCGTTACAAAACGCTTAGCGAACTAGTTCAGGGACACCACTGTAATTGAATTGTACATGATACTGGCTACTGACTGCCGAGTAATGTCAATTTATCGCTATTTCACTTTTTTTGCTATATAACTGCTGTTTTAAAAATATTTCGTAAAACCGCTCTCTTTGAGTTTCAGACAATTTTACGTTTATGTTAAACATACAGAACTTTCTCTAAGTAAGAGCTACATAATTGAATAATATTAAGTGGTTAGTTATTTCGTTACTGGCTAATTACTGCTAACCTTGAAAGGTGGCTTCAGACTGGAAGTATTTTTAAGTTTTAAATCGTAAGTTAACACGCGAGTCACTTTCCCACCTATGAGAGAAGAATGTTAAACAGATCTGTTCAGCAGCATAAGTCCATCTCAATAATGATAGGTAGGTGCAACGAATGGACCATTTCACAACTAGGCAGCAAGTCGAGCGGAATGCGGGCCGCCACCGGCCTTGCAGCTTGCCAACACTGACCACTCTCGCACACTTATAGATCCAAATAGATACACTATCAGCGACACAGTGTTGCTGTACGCGTACAGAGTGCGATGACCCTAATGTCAATCTTCGCTATTTATTAGCGACTCAAACACTCGGTCGGTTAGGCCATTAAAAAGCAAGTTGACATCCTAGACCTATTAAGTCCAGATATCGCAGCGATACGCGACTATAAATTTAAAAAATCTACTCAGAAAAAGGTGTGTTAGACATCTGTTTAGCTATTTGCATTAAACAACAAGTTAAAATGTGTCTAAATAAAAACTTTTACATTTTAACCTTGATACCTGTTTACATATTTAGTCAAATAGCTGTATTTTTCATTTTCACAAGTCTAGATAAAGCCTAATGTGCTCAATTCTTTTGCAAGGTCTGTGTGTGATTTAAATTGAAAAGTCTAATGAAAAGTTATTGAATGAAATTGTTTTGAACTCACAAATGATATGAATACATTAATAGGACTATTGTGGTGTTTTTTTTTTTGGAGGCAACTTTATTATTGATGATGGCATGATGCCTTGCAAAGCTATGTAAGCAACAAAGATAATTAGCACACAATATACTGGGTAGGCACATTATGTTCCAACCTATACCCATTGTTTGCTTGATGGATTCAGAATTCAGAACAAACCAGCAAACTGTTGCTCTTTTAAATATCTGTTTGACTCTTCATGTTAATGTTAAACAATCATTTTGTGCTACTATGTCATTACTTATCATAATTTACATTTGAAACATATCTGGAGTTTTACAGTTCAAGTAACCCTTTGTTTGAAACAAAATAAGTTATTTTGATCGGCTTTAAATAATGGAATACTTTAAATATAAGATATGTACATCATAAAATGATATCATGCTGTATACAAAGACAAACACTGACCCAGATTTGAAAATGGAATATACCCTAAAATATTTAACTGAATCTCAAGGTGCATATATGACTCACAACGAATCATAATCCAAGTAAATTTTAATTCCACCATGTTCTTAATTCCTAAATAATATTAGGGGCTTACAAATGGAATATCTATTTAGTGGTAAACATGATTCATTAGGGATAATTACTAAATTTCTAAGGAAAATCAATAGAAATCACAAATCATATTATCTATGATTCAACTAACAATTAGGTACTATTAGCTAATTTAGTATATTGGATTGATTGCCTAATGCTTTTTTATTTACTTATTAATTCTTAGCACTGGTATTTTAGAATTAGTATACAGTTTAAATATTTTAGAAAATCAAATGAAAGCTTCGAAATTAGAATATTCATAGGAGTTTAGTAATATTTATTCGGCATTAAGCTAATGTTTTACATATACACATAACCACTATTGGGTTTGCATGGTTTAATATTTTTTTTATGTAAAATATAAAGGTATAAATGTAATTCCTAATGCTTTTTAATCATGTTTTTATTTTCAAAGTGTGAAATGCAATAGAAAAAGTATATATATGTAAATGAATAAAATGTAGGTATTTACTATATAAGTTGTAATAAATTACTTACTTTGCTAATGGAATGTTTGAATCAAAGATGTTTTTATTGACAGTTTACTGATTCTATATATAACTATTGTATGTTCTAGTTAGTATCTATGGTATTGTTTTCAAATTATTCCAAGCATTTAATTTTATTCAAAAAGTATGTTCATTAATATTGAAGAGTGAAAGTTTGTTTTTGATTTCTGTTTTCACTGTAGAATCAGATTTTCTTAGTTTTTTTTACATATGACAAAATGATTCAGAATTTTTATAAAATTGTTATTTTTACAAGTAGGATTAAGTCCTATAGATTTTTGTCGAAGATACGCCTTAGACCACAAAATAAGATAAATCATTAAACATTAATTCAGCAGTAAATAAACTGAATTCATTACTTCAACAAAAGCACTTTTCACTTGAATCTTTTTGATGCCCTAAAGAATGGAATGTGTCATATGAAATAATGATACTATAACTAAATGTGAATGTATTTTAAACTCAAATGCATATGGACTTGTAGAAAGTTGGTGGAAAAACTACTGGCGATTACATATTTCTGTGCTGAAATAAAAATATAGAAAATGTACAAACTTATAAATTTGTATTCCGGTTAAATCGCGGTAAAAAATGCGCCGCTATTATTTGCTTAATATATTTGCGAACTCGAAACAAACTACGATTAAACTTTCTACTTCCGAAAATGTACTAAAACATACATCTCCTGCTTGAAATAGATATTCTAGTACCTAGATTTGTTAGATCATTATGTACCGCAGTAATCCAGTGCATATACTATGTACGTTTACTCATAACAACAGCAGCTATACAATTTACAATTTACTGAACAACCGACACGGAATTATAATGTCGTAGTCACTTACCCAAAGCTCAATACCCCAATTCATTTTCACGGCAATAGTATCCACACTTACACAAAAAAACACATTGAAGCTTCACTAAAACACTACAGTTGATAACCAGTAAAATTACGAAAATATTTCCACTATTATGTTGTTTTTTATCACTACCACCATTTCAAAACACATTCCATAGAAATAAACATGGCTGACTGACATGACATTTCGAAAGACTGGCTACATTGCACTGAGCGAGTGACGGACGGAAGTTCAAAAATAATAAGTGTTTTTTGCAGTTTGTCTATGAATAATGTTGCCAGGTTTTGATGAACTCCATTACTTACGGGAGACAAAAAAAACAAATTTATTAACAATCACTTGGTTTATTGTTTTGAGCAGTTAAGTTAAGAAATAAATATTTTAATGTGTCTTTCAGCGTTAGCACTGCGAGGTTGCAACAAAGATCCATCTGAACCACGACGAACAAGCGCTGTCCGACGAACTTCCTGAAATAACAAAATATACTTTTTTTGTTAAAGTAAATATATATTCGAAAATTTCAAAACTGACAGATTCGTAAATATTATAAAAATCATACTTTGACAGGTTCCAATATAGCATGGTGACTTGATCTTCGGGAAGTCGGTGGACCGGTTATTGATGAGCACCGTGATGATGGTAGTGGACTCTGAAAGCATATTTTGGCCAATTTAATGCGACATTTAGTCCAAAATAAATATGAAGTAATATTTTAGTATATCATACCTTAAATGTCGGAATAAAACCAAAATCAGATGGTAATGGCTGAGTTTGTATGCTATGCATACCTTCTTCTGATGCTACAGATACTATTGAAGGTCTTGCTGATAGTTGCTGAGCCAGTAACAGCGGATCCGTATCTAAATAAAGTGTAAAATTAATTGAAAAGTACTAAAATATTTTTTTAATTGATCTAATATGGCCTTACCTATATTCATTCCTTTTGCAACTCTACTTGCTTGTACAAGTTTGCCCGCACTTCGTCTGAATCTTATTCCCTTTTCAGCTTCTCTTCTCAATCTTTGTGCAGCAGCTGCTGATTCTGCTACTGCTTTAGCCATAGATCCCATTCCAGATCGCTTTAAATTCAAGTCCACTATATAACTTAGACATATGGCATTTGAAAGAGTACTATCACTCGGCTGAAAAGATATTTGATAATATTAAAGCATTTTGCTACACAAGGGTCGTTGTGAGAACAGTAAAGTAGACCATACTTGACCAATATCATTAACACTTATATCAAGAGAGCGTAGTGGAGTTTTTACTAAGCCTATTGCTCTTGCTAGTAATTCACCACAAGTTGGAGGATTTTCTGCACTTGTAGTTGACCAAACTCCGGCTGGTGATTTCATTAAAGGACCCGGTGTTATTCCACAACCTGATATATTTAAACTGAAACATCAAAAACTTACATAAGAACTTTAATTGTACAGCATTTAAGTAATTAAATACGTGTTAAGTAAGTGTAGGAGAGCCACACTTCATCCCGAATGGGCCGATTTGATTGGAGTGATACCATGGTCTTTCAAATCCCCTACCTCCGACCCGCCTTCAAATTCCTAACAGCCTCAACAAGACCGACAAGGCAAATGTAACTTTCTTAGTTTTGTCATGGGTGTCCATGGGCAGCGCGTATGGCAAATGGTCAAGTGTTCCTTCGGCTAAGCTGGCGACCTACCTTATAAAAAAAATCTATAAAAAATAGAAGCAAACCTTGTTAAATTGCATCCTCGTGCAATAGATACGGCTATATGTGCAATTCCTTCGGACCCCAGTCTAGTATTAAGGCGTAAGTCAAGGGTTCTGACCCCACAGCCTGAGTGATTAAGGGCATGCGAGATACTTTCAATACCAGGTGGACCTAAAAAAGTACCTAAATAAAATGTATGGCCCATTAATAACCAGCTGCCTTCAATATAGAACATAAATTAATTTCGTTATAATTCTCGAAGTTGCTTAAAAACAATCTTTATGAATTAAGGTATATTGTGTCAAATCAATTATTTATTTATTACCAAATACGTTATCAGCTAAAATAAGAGTTCGTAAAGCGTCACGCCTCATTATGAACTTTCCAATGGACGAAGCTCCATCATCACCAATTTTGCAATGACTAAAATCGAGTACTTCCAACTTTAAGTTTTCCGAAAGACCTCGCAGAATGTACTTTACTCGTTGACAGTTCATATCAGTCCTTGTAATTCTAGAATTTAAAATATGATGTATTACCATGTCAATAAGTGAAAACTATTTTTCATAATTGATAGAAGAAACCTTAAAATCTTCAACTGTGTACATTTTTCCATACCACGAGCCAAATTTTTTGCGTCATTATTAGTAAATTGAAATTGATCAGGGCGGTACTGAACTCCAATGGACCGCAGCTGATAAGTTATATGTAATTCAACTAAGTTAGACAAACTTCCTAAGGCAGCATGTAGAGATATGTGATCTGAAAAAGTTATGAACTGACAATAGAATGGAAAAATAAATGAATAATTACTACGACAAATACAAAATCTCACCTCTAGAAATTACTTCATTATCTTTCAACTGTTGTTTATTTTCGTTTTGTCTTTGATTTGTCACTAAATGAGCTAATTCAGGCGAAGCCATCCTTTGAACAGGAATATCAGTCGGTATCAAACTACGAATTGATAACTTTTGTATGTATGGTCCACAGAGCTTCACTAAAGTTGTAATCTAGATAGGAATCCACAAAATTATTATTACAACATTTATCTATAGTCACTTATACTATGTATAGATCTAAAAATTAAAGTATTAGAAGTAGGATGGTAGTAACCTTTTCTGGATCGTATTGCCTTGGATTTGTGTTTTCTAAAATATCAGCGAAATGTCTTTCCATGAAAGCATTTATCCATTTCTTATCATCAGCCAAAAGTGGAGAATCCGAAAATTTTGAATTATAGCACCTCTTCCAAAAGATATCACTTTTGATATTGTCCACTAGAATCTGAAGAGGAACATCAGTGTCCAAGATTTGTAGAAAAAGTTCACGATCTTTAGCAATTAGTTGCTCTAATTTTGGGTATCCTGAAACGTATCAACTTTGGCACTTAAGCAAGTTCTAATAATATGCATACGATATAATATATGTCAAGCTCCAGTTTGGAATTTATTGTAAGATTATTTTTCGCTTAGTTTACTTTAAATTTTAAAGTGCTTACCCATCCAATTTTCGGCTAACTTTTCAATACAGATCGAAACTAGTGATTTAGGAATATTAGAGTCCCAATCAAGTAATTCTGATTTGATTTTCCTTTGGGGTTCTATAATTTCAGTATGTTTATAAGCCAAATAAGTAGTAAGTTTGACACTGTCTGGAAACTTCATGATTTAAAACTAGAAATGTTTATTTTTAACTTTGCCTGTTCTCCTTCTCCTGATCAAAGTGATAAAATAAATTCAGACAGTTGTAACAATTAATTTACTGCTATAGTAACAAGCAACTTGTTGGTTCAATACTACTGATAAAATCGCGCTCTGCTAATCATTTGCTAACCCGGAAACCTTGTTTTCATAGACAACAACTGGAGATGAAGAGTAAATTTGGGAAAAAATCAATAAAATTCTAGTAACACTGATAAATTTTCCCATTTTTTTAGACTTCTAAATATTTTAAGTAATTAATTGTTATTGATGAAATTTTGCTTTATTTGTTTAATAAGCTGCGCTTTCGTTATTGGGTGGTTAATTTTATTTATTTTTTCTCTCTTTAAAAATGCTTTTGGAATTCAAATTTTTGACAGATAACATTCATTGACACATTCATTCAATCTGACGTCAGATCTTACTGGTGAAGGAAATACTGTCATTATTTTGATAAATTTATGTTTTGTCAAGCAAGGAGAAGTTCTGATTAGGAATTAAAATCGTATTTACTTTCTCTAACCAGGATAAAGAATCATTAATCATGGACAAACATAACAGTTCTGAATTATTAAATTCAGATTTTTCTTTATCAAAGAACGCCAGTTCCGATTCATTGGACTCAGACTCAAAATCGAGTTCATTGAATTCTAAACACGGACAAGACTCCGTAAGTTTCGTAAAAGGATTAATTTATTCTTATTGAATTTTATAACAGCCGCTTCCCTGCTTCCTGTGATGTGACTTAGTTTAAGCTTGCGATTAGTCACTTTTGAGTGTGCTTGTATTTGTGGAGCAAATAGTTTCTGGTCTTCCCCTATTGCAATGAGTGCGCATAGAACTATTCATATTTGCTTATTTATCAACTGTATCCATAATCACAGGCAGCAGGAATTGTCTAAGGCTGGTATCTGTATAAAGTTGAAGATTTGTTATAGCTTTGGTTGTCCTTGCTACATAATTTCAATTTTTATTTTCAGCCGCATGTATTGGGGGATATTCAACTCCTAGATGGCGAGAAAGTGATGAGTTTAGCTCGGGATGTGACTTATTTATGTCCATATAGTGGTCCGTCTAGAGGCGTACTAAAAGTGACTAATTATCAGTTGCACTTCAGACCAACAGACACTGCTGCGTTACAGAGCACTCTCAGCGTACCTCTTGGTGTTGTAAGTTATTTCTTTATTAAAGTTTATGTTGATCTTAATAAGTTTACCTTTTTGGCAAGGTCAGGAGTAAAAATATGTTTAGTTTTACACGTTTTCAGATATAAACTTTGTCTTCTCTTGTACTACTTTTATCTGTTATGCTAGTAATAATTTGTTTAGTTAACAGTTTAGTTTGTTTGTTGATTTATACAAGGATGGTATACTTTTCAATTAAAAATCAAGAACTTATCACTTCCAGCAATAAAGACTTCACAATATGATTAAATAAACAAGATTTAAAGTGTTTGATAACCTTCTTGTAATTTTTTATCTCATTACTACTACTGTGTTTAATGTAACTAATGAATTCCAGGTTTCACGCATTGAAAAAGTTGGGGGTGCTTCATCAAAAGGTGAAAATTCATATGGCATTGAAATATTTTGCAAGGTAATTAGATACTATGATCAATAATCTCGCTCTTTCGCACTTCCTCATTTTCAGTAAATTGTCTATGATTCGATTTTCTTCCTTATAATCCAAACTAATATTATAAATGCGAAAGTAACTGTATCTGTCTGTCTGTCTTTTCTTCGCGCCTTAACTACTGAACCGATTTCTGTGAAATTTGGTACAGACATAGTTTAGAATTCTAGAAAGGACATACAATAGCTTACATACGAAAAATCTGCAGGAAGTCACTATTTCACGTGAACGGAGTTGCGGGCTCTAAAGCAAGTTTATATGTATAAATATGTTACTTGGGCAACTTACCCTTAATCTTTTTTTTAACTGATACGCAATTATAATAATTAATTTGTATGTTTATTACAGGATATGAGAAATTTAAGATTTGCACACAAACAAGAGAATCACTCTCGCCGTGGAATTTTCGAGAAGCTACAGCAATTAGCATTCCCTCTGTCACATAGACTGCCCTTATTTGCATTTAGCTATTCAGAGAGTTTCTCTGAAGATGGATGGCATGTATATGAGCCTATTGCAGAGCTTAGACGCATGGTAAGTTAATAATAGTTATTTATTTAACATACATCCTACTAAAGTAACAAAAAAAATTTGTATAAAGTTTTGCTTGAGGCCTCTTTACCTGACATCGTGTTTTCTGAAGAGGCAGAGAGACGTAGAGTTGTAGTTGAGTTATTGAGTCTTTTTTTTCTTAATTCTTCAAAAATTGGTATGCTATTTTACGTAAGACAACATGGCGTCATATATTGCGGTTTCATACAAAATTCATAGAATAGTATTGTTTTTGATGTATCAATAAAGACATTAATTTGACTAGTCGGAAACTACCAGATTGTCTCTTTACCTGTAGTTGATACAGAAAATGCATCGCAGAAAACAAAATACAGTTTAAAACTCTATAAATACTCATAAAATATTTTTTGAATCAGCATAATGCAAAATAAAATCTTGTCATTCACCAATCCTATTTTTCGCCAGGGCGTAAACAATGACATGTGGCGTATAACTCGTATAAACGACAAGTATGAAGTTTGTGACAGCTACCCATCTATATGGGCGGTGCCAGCAGCCGCTAATGATGACTTACTGCGCTCCGTAGCCACATTCAGGTCCAGAGGAAGAATACCAGTGCTTGCATGGATACATCCTAGCTCACAGGCTACTATCACACGATGCAGCCAGCCTTTGGTTGGGGTGAGTGAACCTTATTTAGTCTACAAATATAATTGTCCATAACCACATTCCTAAAAACCAATAGCAACACTAATGTAATCCATCTAGTGTTGCCTTATCCCGTAACTTAAGAACACGGATTACCTAATGGAAAACAACCGGCAACACCCAAAGAGTTATGAGAGTGTTGCCGCCATTCTGAGCCTTTTGAGAAATATTTGATACCTCAACCTTTTCAAAAACCGGTGTGAAACAACCACAGCGTTGTGTTTCGCCGTGTGAGTGAGGTTACCAGGGGCCCAATCCTCCCCCGATCCCTCCCCACTCCCTTAACCTCCGAAACCCTAATGCCTAATAGGTCGGCAACGCACTCGTAGCTCCTCTGTTGCGGGTGTCCATGGGCGGCGCTGGATTGCTTACCATCAGGTAATCTGTCTACTTGTTTGCCAACCTATTACATAAAAAAAAACATTTTCCATTGAGGATTTTAGTTGTAGATTCTGGTTCTCTTTCTAACCTAATCCGAGGGGGAAAAACCAAAAGAAAATTAGCCCTGCTCAAAAAATCTTTAACAAATGCGCCACGTTCATAGGTCTTTGGTATTACCGTCTTTACCAAATTGGAGTTTACTTTCTTAAAAGATGATTTAAGTTTAAGTAAAGGAAGGTATAATTTTCCTAACATTGTTTGACATAGTAATAACTTAGAAGTAAAACCAATAGTTTAGCAGTAGTGCTTTAGCGCAAAAGATTCTTATTGAAAAATATATTTGATCTCAAGAGATTGTTACTAATTTCTAATATGATACCTCAAAATGTATTTAATTAAACCACGAATAATAGTTTTATTTGTATATCATACATACATGACTTAATTTGTTGTATATAGAACCAAAGACTCTCATGGGTGATTCCTGTGTGCAGTCATTTCATAGGTGATTCTAATACATTGTATGAGTATTAGACGTGACATTCAGTTTTGAGAATTAAATGTATTATAATTCATAATGAAAAATATTTTCATAATAGTGAGTAGACAAAATGAAATTGGGTTTCCAGACTTTCCAGTTTATTAGTAAACATTCCTTAAAAGCCATGACGTAACTGGTAAACCCCACTTTTATTAAATGTGTGTCATTTGTACCAAGCTCTTTGAGTTTTATTATATGCCTCAGTTACATACATATACTGAGATATACTCTAGGTATTAGGCTTTATAATGTCTTATTTTCCAAACTGACAATCCCTTATTTACATATATCTACAAAAAACAATCTATGAAATACACATACAATTTATGGTATACTTGCATAATAATATGATTGAATGCATTGAAGCAATTTAAATGAAAAATAATAGTTGTTTTGTAAAAAAAATTGGATTATTGGAAAAAAAATTAAGTAATAAAAATTATGACTCGTGTCAAGGCATGATACATGACATATGTACAAAATCCAAAATTCGCAAATATGAGCCCCTAGCATGGCTTGAAACTTTTCGAGTCACTTCGTCAAATAGTTACGTAATAAATTATGATTTGTTATATGTTCTATCAGCTATAAAAACAAAACAATTTTGTTTAAAATCTCACGCAACTAGATTAATTCCAGCGGTGCAAAAACAAATAAATAATAATGTTTTTGTTTTAGGTAAGCGGTAAACGCAGCCGTGAGGATGAGCGCTACATACAATTGATAATGGATGCCAATGCGCAGGCGCACAAGTTGTTCATCATGGACGCCAGACCTACTGCCAATGCTGTTGCAAATAAAGCTAAGGGCGGAGGGTGAGTTTCTCAAGATACCATAGTTTATTCCAGCTATTAAAACTAAAATTTTGGGATGTGGGGTGTGTGGAATTCACAATTGTTATTTTGATTATTGGTGGTTGGTTCACCTATGTGAATTTTTATGTTTAAAAACGCTTCCACGGTACGGGACAAAATACAAATGTGGCGTAACGTTTTTAAAAATATATATAGAAAATATGAGATTCTAAAATCCATTCATCATTGTTGAATTTTTATAATCGATTTAATTATTTATTTAACATAATCGATATCAAAACTACCCAATCCATTCGAAAAAACACAGGATGTTCCAAAATTAATCATCTTTAAAAAACCGCCTACAATAATAATCAATGAAAATATTTTCCAGATATGAATCAGAGGATGCGTACCAGAATGCCGACCTTGTGTTCTTAGATATACACAATATCCACGTCATGCGCGAGAGTTTACGTAAACTTAAAGAGCTCTGCTTCCCACAAATAGACCAGACTAGGTGAGTGACCGCCATTATTTATTTTCTCAGCTAATATTCTGCGTCAAAAAAAATTGCTATGAGAATGAGGTTAACCAAACTTTGAACAAGATATGTTCGTTTATTTTTAATTTTTCAGAGATTAAAGATTGCATTTTTGTGGCGATACATTTTATATAATTAATACGCTACACTTAGGTCTCAGAAGTAAATCAATTCAATTGTTTTTAACTTTCATCTATTCTGCAGTTAAAGGACAATTTTTCATTTAATAAATTTGAACTCTATTAATAATATTATTTTAATTTTGTTATTATTTTCAGATGGTTCAGCGGCATTGAAGCTACTTGCTGGTTGAAACATATAAAATGTATATTGGCTGGAGCCGTCCGTATAGTTGATAAGGTAAGAAATACCATTTTTTTAATCACACATTATCAGTCTATAAGTGCCCACTGCAAGGACCTCTTCTCACACGGAGAAGGTTTGAGCATTAATTACCACGCTTGCTCAATTCAGTTTGGCTATTTTAAACTTATAATTAGAAATTATAAGTCCAAGTTTCCTCACTATGTTTTCCTTCACCACTTACAAACAGTGGTGTCGTAATTATCATAGAAAGTACATTTAACCCACAAAAGTCACATTGGTACGGCCACAGCCAAAAAGCCGGCAACACAAGTATATAGTGATTTAAGTAACAAATAATTATACTAAGCAATTCTCAATTAGTTTTGTCTGCAAACAGGTGGAAAATCACAAGACATCAGTACTGGTACATTGTTCAGACGGATGGGACCGAACTGCGCAGCTGACGGCATTAGCAATGTTGATGCTAGACCCCTACTACAGAACGCTAAGAGGTTTCGAAGTCCTCATAGAAAAGGAATGGCTGTCTTTTGGACATAAGTTTCAATTGGTAAGTTTTATTTTCTCACGTTTTTTGCAATTTGAAGCTAGGAATTGGATAGTGTGATATAAAATGCATTAACGATAATTATAACACATATTGTGTTTATATTCTATTCTTAGAGCAAAGCTCTACTAGTTTCAAGTCACTGCGGGACTCTTATACAAGAACAGGTGATGTCGCGCAGCCGACTGACTAAATTTGAGTGATTAGAGCTTTTCTTAATTAATTTGGACAATAAATCAATGCTTATGATCTGTACTATCTATACTTACTAATCTATACTTATACTAATTTTATAAAGAGGTTAAACTTGTAAGTTTGTAATACTCGGAACCACTGGTCGAATTATCAAAATTCTTTCATATATTGATAGCTACAATGTTCCCGAGTGCTATAGGCTATAAAATATCACACTACAATCAAATGGAGCCGAGCAGCGAGTGAAACCGCGCGGGAGTAGCTAGTTCGATATAAAGTAGTTTAAGTAGTTAGGAAAAGTTTGACACTCTTCCTCTCACCCAGAGCAAGAGAAGTAATTAAATGATTTTATTGTTTAAAAATGAAAATATTAGACAATTGAAAACCAGTAAATTAACTTAAATCATCATATTACAAGTAAAATTATATAATAATTATATTTAATGTAATGTAAGACGATAATTATAACATTTTTTAATGTGGTAACAATAATACTAGATTTCTACATTTCAAATACCTCAACTAAATTTATTAATTTGTTTAAAAATATTGTATCTTTTTATTCGCTTTACAGCGTATAGGTCACGGCGACGAGCGTCATTCGGACGCTGACAGATCCCCTGTCTTCGTGCAGTGGGTGGACTGCGTTTGGCAGCTTCAGCAACAGTTCCCAACAGCCTTCGAGTTCACTGAGAGGCTCCTTATCACCATAGTGGACCATCTCTACTCTTGCAGATTTGGCACCTTCCTGTTCAATACTGAGAGGGAACGAGTTAAGGAGGGTGAGTGGATATTTAGTGTTCTATTTTACTGCTTAGTATATTACTAGCTTTCACCCGCGGCTTTGCACTTGTATCCTCGCTAACGACGAGAAGGTCGACATCATTTGAACACAAGATACGGATAAGTTGCGCAACAACCAGTTACCCATTGCGCCAACTACGCGATAATCTAATATGTGTTGTCTAAATAAAATATTTTTCATTTCTAACATACTATTTTATTTACAGAAGTGAAAACAAAGACAGTGTCCCTCTGGTCGTACATAAACAGTCGCCAGGACTTGTACCTGAACCCCCTTTACTGGGGCCCGTCATCGTTCGGAGCCAGTTCTCCCCCCTCCCCCTACTCGCGGCCTCAAGTCGTGTTAGTACCTGTCGCCTCGCTTCGAGTCATCAAGCTGTGGAAGGCGTTGTACTGTCGATGGAATCCAACTATGAGGCAGCAGGTTAGTAAAATGATGTTTTTCATGGATTTTAGACTCTATGTGTAAAGGAGGAAAGTTCAAATGCAAGTTTTTGTTGGGGTTATATCTACCAAATAAAAGATTGATTTTTATATCATCATAATATATGTAGATGTTTAACCATGTAGGCTTATTATGTTAAAAAAGGGTTTATGTTGGTGTTCAAAAATCCTCTTGGTAGAACGTCCAAATCGTGTACGTCTATGGTAATTTGCATAATTTTGAGTTACTATGCAGAAGTTTTTGTTAAGTTTCTGTTAATAAATATGAGTAAACATCATCTTATAATCTATATCTGCCCACTGCTGACTAAAAGTCACATTTAAATTGCGCCATTTTTGCGCATTGATTGCGCAACGATAAATTGCTTTTGCGCTTCTTTTAAAATTATATTTCATTTTTGCCCCAGGACCCCATCTACCAGCGCACACGAGAGCTGGTGGCAATCAGGGCGCAATTGGAAGCAGCGGCGGCGGCCGCAGCGGGCGACCATGCCGCCCGGCAACACCGCCTCGGCCTCACCCCGCCCCGGGTCGCCAGCCCACACCATGTATGAAACGAGGACCTCTACTTCTACGACAGCCATCTGTCTGTCTGAGAAGTCAAAATGGACCTAACCGACAAGTGCCGGTAACTTCCAATTCAGTTTATTAGGGAACGTGCATTTAGAGTCGTGTTTTCAATGAACTGCGTATGGTGTATAACTAAGTAAATATTAAAAGAATATACATCGCCACGGATCGCTAGCCCTATGCATCAAACGACGACAGTCATCTGTCTGAAAAGTCGTAATGGACCTAACCAACCAGTGCCGGTAACTTCCAATTCAGTTTAACAAGGAACGTGCATTTAGAGTCGTGTTTTCAATGAACTGTGTATGGCGAATAAATAAGTAGGTAACTTGTAAAAATATCGTATAGTATCGCCGCGGTCTATGTATCAACGAAGACAGTCATCTGTCTGAGAAGACAATGGATCTAACCGAACAGTGCCGGTACCTTTCAAATCCGTTTATTAAGGAACATGTGTTTAGAGGCGTGTTTTCAATGCGTATAAAGGACAGTAAATTCTATAAACTGTAGTGGTCATCTTAAATTATGGTTTATGCACACGAATATGGACCTTATTAACTATAAGTAAGCTTTTAAATCAGTGTTATGACGAGCATATAATACTGTTTATTCTTGTGCAAGTATTGTATAATTATATAGTGTTCTAATAATAACTTTATTAGTTTCATCTTACTATCGTCAGAAAGCAAATGACATAAAGATTTTAGTGTGAAAATGTTCATGTAAAAAAAAGAAATTAAATATTGCCAAATATTTTTACATTTTAAATAGGTATACTTATAATTGTAAAACATTAAAACGAATAATAAATGTGTAACAATTAGTGCAGCTTTTACACAGTATGATTAAAGAAAATAATAATAATTATGGAAATATAATAGAAATAAAAAATAAAGCGAAGTCCATACTTATAGATACACGTTTAATGTTGTTATGTTATAATGTTAGTATTGTAGTTTTTAAAATATAAAATATAATTGTATTTTAATAATGATAAATGTAAACAAACATTCTATGTTATTAATAGTAAGTTTTTATATTAAAAGTTGTTTCTTTCTTTAACTACTTTCAAATAATTTGAATTAATGTATATTTTAACAACTTTATTGATATTAAAAGGCCTTCTAAAAAGTTCGGTAACGCATATGTGATTCCTTTGAGTGTTCATGGGCGACGCTGATCGCTTACCATCAGTGGAACTGATAGCTCGTTTCCCTTCTAATCGCAAAAAAATTATAAACAATTATTTTACACCAACTATTGTGTTTAATGTATAGCTATGCACATATATTAACTTGAATTGACCACTGTTGGATCATAAGCCTTCTCTACTTAATAGTCTGTACTAATCTCCATAATTTTAGTTAAAAGTTATTGAAATTCAAAGTCAAAATCATTTATTCCAACTAAACCAAAAATAGGTATAATAATAGTAGTCTGTCAGTCTGTTCAAATCTTCTGTAAAAACCGCGGTTTATCAATGAGCACTGCTAACGAGTTTTTATCATTCATAGTGCCTATTGCGAGTTTGCTTTATTTCAACGTAATCAAAAGTATACCGCGTTTAGTTCTCTGATTAGTTGGTTAGCTTGGAGCTGGTCGATCAAAGCGGCGACTGCTCAGGATGCATATACATACGTTTGTGTCGATCGCTTTAAAGTAAACAAAACTCGCAGTAGGCCCTCAAGTCTGTCAGAGCGACGAAGGTCATGATCGCGCTGCAGCAAAGCAAATTTGCACTACTTACTAGTGTCAGAGCGATGCTCAAAGAAGACTCAGTTTATCAAAAAGTCAAAGTCACAATCATTTATTTAAATGAAACCCTTACAGACACTTGAACAAAGCTTAAAGATAAAAGTCAGTCTGTCGGTCAGTCCTTTTAGTGAAGTGAAGTTGTAATGGGCGTTGGACCGTACGGACTTCGGAATTGGTCCGCTGAAAGGACTCAATGTCCCTTACTGATGCTGACGGTGGCTATCGGGAAAGTTTAAAATCCCACTATCCTTAGTCGTTTTACCCTCAAAAGCTAGATTGCCTGTCAAAAGTTTACACCAGCAAAAAAAAAAATTGGGAAAAGAAGATATGTTTCATGCACTCCTGTAGTCTTACGACACACCACCCTACCCCCACTGCTAGAAATTGGGGTGCTAATATCACTGTCATCGGCTTCGACGTCATCACACAAGTTATTTATATATAAGCAATTATTTTAAAACTAATTTATTTCAACACGTGACTAAAACGTTAATTGTACCTAAAAAAATCACGTTTTACCCAATTATCAAGTGTATTTATTAATAAAAGTATTTTTTCGTCTACGTCAGTTACCTTTGATTTGCAATAATAACCTTTAATGCTTACGAAATTAAGACGCGAATGTCAAATTATTATCAATGTTTGACGTATTACAGAATGCCATAGTAAATAATTGTGTTTTATCAGTTTTTTCGTTGCTTATCCTAAAGTGTAAACAACTTTTGCACACAAATATATGTCTTTTTATATATATAATTGTAGGTATTTAGGCAATGTTTCTTTTATAAACTATTACGTCATCAAATATTTAGTCTACATTAACTTATTATTGATTGTTTTTGATGTCTTAAAGTTAACACGACGTCACTGCACACAATCCCGTACAAAATTTATCAAAAGCGCGCTTCTTTCACAAATAGAAAAAAAAATAGTTTCACTAGTTTGTCAAGTCAAAACGGGTACCCAATTTGGAATTTATGTACAGTGCAGTCAGCCTTGTTATTTGATAAGCAGATAAAAATCAAGATTGATTTAGTACTACTACAGTAATCATTGTCATCCATTATTGTATGTTTTTTTTTATCCAAGCAATACATTTTAATTAACATTATAAATCAGGTCAGTAGCCATACAATGGTTCTTTCTGAATCAATAGCTTTCTTTCCTGCCTACCAAATAAATTAAATGACTGTAAACACATATACTACTGTAAACAGACAAAAAGTTATTTAACATCGATAAATAATTAAAATTATGTATTATAGTTAATATTCTAGCTATTAAAGTAGTATAGTTATATTATGCTTGACTTTTGAGTCAGAATATTTTTATACTTATAAAAAATGTGTATTCCATTTTATTGATAATTAAATAAATATTTTATCTAAGTATTGCACACAGTACATAATATTATTATAATAAATAACACAAGCTATGTAGAATTATTTATGTATATGTATTAAATATCTTTGTGTAAAGCATTTAAAATACATAGTTTTAAATTGTTTGTATCAAAAATGAACCTTATGTAAAGAGGATAAAGTTGTATTTTATTATTATAGAAATAAGAATGTTTTGACAGAATGCTACTCGATGTTTGAAAAGAGGCTGTGTTTATAGCTCGCTAAAGACCAAATTCATTTAACATTTTCCAATCGGGCTTTGAGATGGAGATTATAAAATAAATAAACAAGTAATAGTATTTAATATGTTTACTGTTATATAGTTTTAATAAATAGACAACTTCGTTATGGTTTAGTCTAGTTATATATAAATGTAAATAGTAAATAATAAATGTTTAACCAAATAAGTTTTTCTTTTAATCTAATTTAAACTTTCATCCTTCAAAAAGGCCCTCAAAAGGCTTTTTTAGACGCGACAATACTGGAAGAGGCCAGTGACTTCCCCTCAAGTTGCTTTTGCAACATTGCGGAATGCTGGCAACGCAACGCAACTTGTTTATATTCACCACGTGTTCCTCTTCCCACCTTATTTTTATGCCTATTCTCTTTTATACTAGAAGTTTGAAGAATAAGTACAACAAGATCCCAGTGTTTTAACAAATTTATTAAAACAAGCAAACGGGTAATAGATGTAGTCACAGCGTCACACAACGTTCTGTGAAGTCTAACAATAAATTGTCTTCCTTTTTGTGTAGAAAATACACTTATCCTTTTTTTGTGAGGGGAAAATCATCAAATAACTTCTCCCGCTCAGGGTAGGGCGGGAGGGAGTGTCAGACTCTTACTGACTCAAAACCCCTCCGTTGCTTCTCCTGCTCTGGGCCGAGGTCGTGGTGCCTCATTGCAGTTGCACACTTGTCCTTTGAGTGGTCCATTTAAAGTATAGTTATGCTCAGCGTTGCTTGGCGTCTCGGTGTAAACTGACCATAAGATATATTTAATTATAATTGTTTTTCACTTAATCACCCTTGTTATCTCACTTAAAAATTGAGATGTTTATAATGAAGTACATATCTAGTGTATTTGTATGTCTGTTGGTGCCATCATAGCTCCGAAACGGATGTGCGGATTTTGATAAAGATTTTTTTTACTTGAAAGATGACTTAATCTAGACCTAATTATTAGAAAAAGCCTAGTTGTTCAGCTATATTAAATATAAGCAACATCTAAACATCTTGGCGACTAGATATTTTGTCTCCAATCACTTTTGTCGCACACAATCGGCTAATAGCGCGTCCGCTTATAAAGTAAAGTCTCAAAGATACGGGGTAAGTTCACTCTCATATTAAAATAACAAAAGATAACGAATCGGCATAGCAGAATAACATGAACTTTGATAACTTGAGAAGATAATATATATTAACGATACACCATTTAAACATTCGTCAATGGACAGTGTAATAGATCAGACATCTTAGTATTCTGTAGGAGTTTAGTGAAAATGTTTAAAATAGTTCGAGATAGTGCTATTAGGAATAAAGCGGCGAATTATTTGAAAAATTTTAGACACGAGAAACGGTTTTTGGCTACCCAACAAGAGGTTGTGTCTTCTGCAGATGTTGTTATTATTGGTAAGTTTGAATTTTTATTTTATCAACTTATTGAATTTTTAACGCCCTCCCTAATCTTTTCTTATTAAACACAGACAAAAGTGAAAATTTAACTTAGTTAACAGACTGAAAAATAAACTTAGAGAACGCCATGTTGGACAATGGTGCCTGACGAAAGTGGATGATTACGAGTAGGTAGATACATACCTACTCTCGGCTAATTTTATTGGCAGCCAGACTTAATTACAAATATTATCTATGCGAAAGTTTGGAAGTGTGAATAGATAGGTAGATGTTTGTCACTCTTTCACGTAAAACTACTGAATTAATTTTAATGAAAGTTGGCACTGAGATAGTTGGATAAGGAAACATGTAGGCTACTTTTAGAGTTCTGTAGTCAACTACTTACTCTTATAGTTTCGCCATGTCTGCTTAACCTGGTAGCGGGCTAAGCCACTGAAAGATGGTAGTAGATTAAAAGTAAAAAAGTAACGAAAGTAATTACTCAACTTAAGATTACCTATCTGAAATGTTTTTGTGAAAACAATTTACCTAGGTAGTGAGTTAAATAAGCTATTCTTTACTTTCTATATTTAACTTCTAGATCTAGATAATATAAATAAGTACTTACTTACTTAATTCGTTTATTAATTCTCAGGTGGTGGTATAGCGGGATGTAATACGTTATATCAGCTTACAAAACGAGGAGTGAATGCTGTGCTGCTGGAGAGAGCCAAGCTGACCAGTGGAACGACATGGCATACAGCTGGTAAAGTGACTTTCACCTAAGTTTAAGTATGGGAGAGCTACTTTTCTGCCGGCTCGACCTTACCAAACCGGCGTGAAACACAACTTACGTTAGGTTTTGCCGTATGAGTGAGGTTACTGGAGGCCCAATCCTTCCATCCGTCCTCAAAGACCGCTAGTTTGTCGGTCGAACCTTTAAAAAAGTTAATTATTTTAATATTTAAAAGATAGCAGTTTTACACGTATTATAAAGTATATTAGATGAGATTATTTCAACTTATCAAAAAATTCAAAAATTTCAAAACTTTTACATTTTTATTTCGTCGTTTGATGATAGGTATTACTTAATTTTCGATTTTTTTTAGCTTAATTGAGATAATTAATTAGGTTGAATAGGGCTACGCTATGGCGCAAAAAGAAGACGTCATAACTTGCGCTATTACGAAAATTTAGTGTTTTACACGTTTGATGAAATTTTTACATCTTTGCACAATGTTTTTGCATGACTACCCCAAAAGAGGAGTCTTTTCGTGACTCCTTTTTTGGGGCAGTCATGTAAAAAGATATTGGTTTTGATAAGTTTTAAACTACCTTTTAAATCAAACAAATCAGAAGATAGATATCCTCTAATCTAGTTAGGTATAATTATTTCAAATTAAGTATTAGGTAATTATTATGACAATGGCTATTTCTTTTCAATTTTTCATAAGTAAACTCTTTTATAATCACTAACTGTACCCAATGAACTTGTTGTACTAAAAACGATAAAAATATTGATAGTTAGTTCTTTGGTTATTATAATTAATGATGTCTTCAATAATATTTACACGTAAGGTCAAATACCTACCTATCTATTGTTTACTTTTTTGCACAATACTTACCAATTATAATTAAAATATTTTTATTATGTCCAAAACTAGCTTACGAATTACCTGATGGTAAGCAATCGGCGCTGCTCATGAACATCCGCTCCACCAGAAGAGTTACAACTTTTGTGGAGGGATGGGGGAGGGGAATGATAGGGTTTCTGGTCATCTTACTCACACGGTGAAACGCAACACTGTAATTGTATCACGCTGGTTTCCTCTGATACTGTGGTATCAATACGGTTGAATATTGAATAATTTAAATGTAAATAAAACTTTAATAATCTCGTCCTTTTTAGGACTTGTATGGTCGTTGAGACCGTGCGATTTAGAAGTGAAATTATTGCGGGACTCAAGAAAAGTGTATAGTACTTTGGAAGAAGAGACTGGAGATCACGCAGGGTGGACGAACAATGGAGGCATGTTCATATCTCGTAGCAAAGTAAGTACACATTATTAATCCCTCTGTGTTATTTATATAACTTTTTTCCAATGACGTTTTGTAGAAACTACCCTATATAAACATGCATGTTTTATTAATTCGTCGACTTCAATATTCTACATGACTATTTTTAAATGCAACTAGGTACATAACATTGTATCATACAATGATACACTATGCCTGTGCCAAATTTCATCTAGACCCATCCAGTCGTTTTGGCGTAATTGAGTAACAAACATTCAAACATCGTAACTTTCGCATTTACAATATTAGAAAGATCACCAATTACGTACCTATTTATAATTATTCTCAGCTCATCCTAAAATGAATTTTATTGATCTTCCTAGGTCCGAACACAAGAATACCTAAGGCTACATACGCTGGGCAAAGCCCTAAACATTCCTAGCGAAGTTTTAAGTCCAACTGATGCCCAGAAGAAGTTTCCCCTTCTCGACCCTTCAGTGTTCCAAATGGCTCTGTATGCTTCTGAAGATGGAACCATCGATCCTTCTATGGCATGCAACGCGCTTGTGAAAGTGGCTTTGAAGAACGGAGGGAAGGTAAGTGTTAAAGTGAAACATTTAATAACATTCAACTCAACAGGTTTTAGTTAAAAAAGCCTATAAATGTGTTTTGGGATCTCTAACATAAAAATCAAGGTCGTGGTGGCCCGGAGGTTCTCATGCATGAGCCCACACGTTCGAAACCTGGCACGTAGCAATGTGACTTTCTGAGTTATATGTAGGTACTTTCTATGATTATTTAGACACCACTGGCATACGGTGAAGGTAAACATTGTGAGGAAACCTGGACTTATAATTTCTAATTATAAGTTTGAAATCGCCAACCCGCACTGAGAGAGAGGCCTTTGCTCAGCAGTGGGCACTTATAGGCTGATGATGATGATGATGAACATCAAAAGCTATTGAAGTCGGTGGAGTAGTTTGCTTTTGCCCGGCTGGGTCGTCTGTGCAAGTGCAGTTATGACACCGCAGCTGAGTTCTGAGCAAGAGAAGGGTCGGGGTGGTTTTAGTCAGAAGATACAATACCTCTTGCCTTACCCAAGGCGGTTGAAGACTTTGGTAGATTTGTCAATTTTCCTTCTTTTAATAACGCAGTATTATTGTTTTATTATTGTGCTACAAAGATGTTAACAAATATTTATGTAAACAAGGCAAGATTCTCAACGTTTGCTTTAATGTTAAGAGGGCTATTAATAATAAAATGATAGCTACCTAAACCATATTAAGTACAAATTTTTTGATGATCTTAAATTTAAGTGACCTGTAAACTATTAAAAATTAAATTAGACTTGTACTATATAGATACTTGTGTCAGCTGGGAGTTGTACTTGCTTACGCAGAGGTCTCATTGACGGTGGCACGGGCACTGGATCGCTCGATTCCCTATAATATGGTTGAGTTGGGCGGTTCAGACCGATAGACTGATAACTTTTTAATTTTTAATTTTTGTTTGACGTTCAAAAGTGCCCATATCTACTGGTCTATTTGAAATAAATGTTTTGACTTTTGTCTTTTTTTAACTTTTACAACATTATATTTCTTGTACAGGTCTATGAAGACTGTCCAGTTCTAGACGTTCATTACACACACAATCTACTTGGCAACAAAGAAGTTACAGCCGTACACACAGACAGGGGAGTTATCAAGACAAAATGCGTTGTTAATTGCGGAGGTAATTTATGTCTTATTTGCATAATATTAAGTCACGTTTTTCAATCCCCTAAGTGGTATAGATTTTTAATATATGAGCCCCATCAAATTCTTTGTAAATTGGCAAACTTGCAAGCCCGTCGCCTGATGGTAAGACGCCATCCATTGACACTTACACGCCCAAAGCAGTTATAAGCGCGTTTCCGGCTTTTTGTTGGTTCTTTGGGTTTTAAGGATGGCGTATTTGGGGGAGAAAGATTTGGCCTCCGACTACCTCACTCACACGGCGAAACACAACGTTAGTGTTGTTTAACGCCGGTATTCTGTGAGGCCGTGGTTTCACTCTGGTAAAGCCACGTGCTGAAATATGGCTCTTCCACATTTAAATTGGTAACGATTCCTTTATATACGGTCATCAAGCCCTGGGCCCCCGTAGTCCTATTAATAGTTTACAATTTCCTATTATTACCTATTTACTCTTCGGTATCCAAATGTCTACATATTAACGTAACTATTTTTAAAGTGACAATAATTGTTAATGTTCTGTCAACAAGATATAGCACATAGTCCATCAATGTACATAATGTTTGTGCATGAATGCTTAAGTAAATAAATAATTATAATTACCTACTTCACTTCAGTTAATGGGTATGCTTATCCAAATATTCCAATGAACATAGTATTTTAATAACGTTGAGTTGTCTAGGAGAAATCCCAAGTCCGCCATTGTATGTATGTATGTATGTATGTATGTATGTATGTATGTATGTATAATTATTTTTTTTTACGCATATCTTCCCTGTTTTTTTTTTTTTGTTAAGGGAAAATCATCGAATGACTTCTGCCGCCTAGGGTTAGACGAGAGAGAGTGTCAGACTCTTACTGACTAAAATCCCCGTTCCGCAGACCCGCGCTTACGGTGGCCGGAGATCATCTCTCGATCCCCGACGCCCGGAATGTCGCCTACTGACATATATCGTGCCTGAGTTTGGTCTGAAGTAAGAGAGTGAAGTGTGGGAGAGCCATGCTTCGGCACGAATGGGTCGGCTCGACCGGAGTGATACCACGGCCTCACAGAAAACCGGCGTGAAATAACCACTGCTTTGTGTTTCGCCGTATGAGTGAGGTTACCGGAGGCCCAATCCTTCCCCTTCCCCAATCCCTCCTCAATCCCTAAACCTCCAAATCCCTTATCCCTAAAAGTTCGGCAACGCACTCGTAACTCCTCCGTTGCGAGTGTCCATGGGCGGCGCTGATTGCTTACCATCAGGTAATCCGTCTGCTCGTTTGCCGAGTTATTAAATGAAAAAATAAAAAAAAGAGAAGGAACGGGATGTTTTTTTGTTATTAAGAGTGTGACACTCCCTCCCGCTCCCATACAGAGCTAAAGAAAACATTGGATAATTTCTCCCTTTAAAAAATTACGAGCGACATTGCTAACCTCCTGAAAAGACAAGAAAACTAATTTCGTTGATTTTAGTTGTACGAGTGATACTACATTGTGATAGAAAATATTATTAAAAGAGAACTAAGGAAAGCTGAAGAAAAAAGGCAGATATCGCTTATAACACTAATAAACTATTTTTATTTCTCAGGAGCATGGGGTCCCCGCGTCGCCCGCTTTGCTGGTATCCCCAACCTTCCTCTAATTCCATTCAAGCACGCGTATGTGGTGATGGACGCGACGCCAGAAATCCGAGGCGGTCCAAACATTAGAGATCATGATGTCGACCTTTATATTAAGGTGCAGGGAGAGTCCTGCCAGGTTGGTGGGTATGAGAGCAACCCGCATATGCTTGATCAGGTGTGTATTTATTAGGATTAAGAAAGAAAAATAATTTCATTTAAAAAAACCGGTAAAATATATATTTTTCCCACAAAGTTCCATAAAAAGGTAAAAAAGAGAATCATTTTTCTTTTTTTCCATACTCCCAATTCTCTTAATTTGAAATAGACTAGCTGTGCTCGCTTTTGCCCGCGACTCCGTTCGCATGGAATAGTAACATCCTGCAGATGTTTGGTATAAAAACTCTCCTATGTCCTTTCTCGAGTTCCAAACTATGTCTGTACCAAATATCACAGACATAGAGGTTCAGTAGTTTAGACGTGAAGAAAAGACAGGCAGACAGACAGAGTAACTTTCGCATTTATAATATTAGTTTGGATTATTTTTGAACGGTCAAAATAGGGAAGATAGGTATGGGCGAGCCATGCTTCGGCACGAATTGGCTGGCTCGACCTCGGCCTTAGAGGAAACTTTTTTTAACTTGAAACAAAGCTTTGTATTTCATCGTTTGATTGAGGTTATTGGAGGCCTAATCCTTTCCCTCCCCAATCTAATCAATGTGAGTTTATTGGAGGCCCAAACCTTAGAGGTAACCCAAGTGATTTGATTTGTATGAGCTAAGTACTACTTTTTTGAACTTCAGGTACCGGACAACTTACAATTTCACCTGTACGAGTTGGATTGGGATGTGTTTGGGATCCACATGACGAGTGCCACCTCCTTGTGTCCCAAGCTCAGTACAGTTGGAGTCAAGAGTACTGTTTGCGGACCTGAGTCCTTCACCCCTGACCATAAACCACTGCTTGGAGAGGACCCTAATGTTTTTGGTGAGATTTTTTTTTTATACTTTGTTATTTTTCTACAGAGTTGGACTTGGAATAGGTTAGAAAGTGCTTTGTGATCTGACTAAGTTCACAAGTTGGATAATGTGTACAGATTAGTAACAGAAGAAGTGCAGTAGATTAGTATTTTTACAAGGGGGAATTATATCTTTAAAAGATCTTTCCCGCCATGGGTGTGTCTAGAGAAAGTGGCAAACTCTTACGGGCCGAGGTAACGCATTCTAATAGGTATGTGGTTTACAAATGTTTAAATAGTGTAATTGGCTTCTGTCGTTCTATTTAAATAAATAAATAAATAAATTACCCGGTTGGAAGTGCCGTTGACGAAAATGTTGGGATTTTATGTGTCCTCTTTTAGACGGGTTAGTGCGATACAATTGGGTAGTTTCCTAGATCAATAATGAATTAATTTGACGTTTCAATACAATAAAATATTGAAAAAATAACTATATGTACTTTTATTCATCGATCGATCGATACACTAAATTTTAGATATTTTTTAGCTTATTTTTAAGAAATAAGTAGGTAAGCTCTTCGACGCAAAAAACGATGACGTCATAACTCAGTTTTTTATACAAATTTCATAGAAAAATATCTTTTTTGACATTTGGATAAAAGTATTGAATTTGATTAGTTGGAAACTACCTAAAAGTAAAAATGTTGCTAAGCTAAGTATCTATGGAGGATTAAAGGTTATGGTAACTTCAGCTAATTATTATAACAATTGATAAAAATCGTTGCTTTGATTCTCTGATTTTATAAATGAAAATCCCATTTACTCGAACTGTGGATGTACCCGTTTTCTATCACATTCCCTAAGTGGGAGTGTCAAGTTAGATACAAATGATAATAATTATACAGTCTCGAACAGAATACTTATTATAAACAGTAAATATAGCGGCATTGCGTCAGATCAATGTCTACGATAAATAAATCTTATAACTACATAAGTGTATCTAAGTACGTTGACCGGCTGACCTATATTAGTTTAGTTGTCATTTATTTTATCTATGTATGTTTATTATGTTATTACAATGTTTTACTGGCAGAACTGTGAAAAAACATCAAACTTAGGAAATCATTGTTCTTTTGCAGCCAAAAATTCAATATATTATACAACTAGCTCCTACCCGCGGCGTCGCTCCCGTCATTTGACTACCTACCTTACTCTACCTACCCTACCTACCCTACTCTACCTACCCTACCCTACCTACCCTACTCTACCTACCCTACTCTACCTACCCTACTCTACCTACCCTACTCTACCTACCCTACTCTACCTACCCTACTCTACCTACCCTACTCTACCTACCCTACTCTACCCTCTACCTACCCTTATCTATCTACCCTACTCTATCTACCCTACTCTATCTACCCTACTCTACCTACCCTACTCTATCTACGCTACTTTACCTACCCTACTCTACTTAACCGACACTGCCTACTCTATTCTATGTCCTTTTCCTAGCTCCAAACTACTCCCTGCCAATTTTCAGCTAAATCGGTTTAGCCGTTTTTGACTTATAAGTGGAGTAACTAACACGACTTTCTTTTATATATATAGATGCTGAATTAATTAATAAAAGCAATGATACCTACTATTATTGTAATAGTACGTTAAAAACGAAACATTTCTCTGAATACGATATTTTACAACTAGTCAAATTCGATACTTTTATCCAAATATCAAAAACTATCTACTTTTCTATTAAATTTGTAAGTATGCAATGACTCCAAATTATGACTGATAGTTTTTTCCTCAAACAACTTATTTCTTAAACTTTTGCAACAGAAAAATGAATAAAATTTTATTTTACAATGTTTTATTGTATTTAAATGTCGAATTAATGACCTAGGAAACTATCCAATTTGTGTCAAATTACTGAATTGTAAAGTCATAATTTTTTGTGGCATTACCTACTTACTTATTTCTCTAAAATCAGTTAGAAATAAAAAAATAAGCTCTAAATGCTATTAATTCAATCAATGAAAGTAGGTATCATATTTTTTACTGGTAATTCAAATATGTAGATTTATTACTTGACACTCATCATCATCAACTATCAATCATCTCTATCACAAGTAATCGTTTCTATAACATCTGTAATTAAAAAAAAAATACTTAGAAAAACCGCAAAGATTCGCCTTTCCTGTAGCGATGATAAAACTTTCAAGTAGGTACATATACATATGTAGATAGATTATACGCAACAACGCATACGCAAATTCATTTCTAATAATCCTAAATATGTGTAATACAGGTCTGTACCACAACTGCGGTTATAATTCAGCCGGCATGATGTTCTCCGCGGGATGTGGTATTCAAATGGCAGAGTGGATCGTCACTGGAAGGTATGGATGAACAGTACAAATTATTATATAAATATACGGTTGAGCTTTTTAATTTCCAAAGAGGTGGTTATGTATATGTATGTACTTATACAATGTAAATAGTTATTTTTAATTGTCTTTTTTGTGTGAGTATAGTAAATTACGACTGAGCTGAGGAAAGCTCCACTCGTTTCAAGTCCCAGCGGGATTTTTACTTATAAGCAGCGTGCGAGACGCAGTGCCGCCGCGCTAGCGACTCATTTCAAATTAGGCAGTAGACCTTTTCTCATTTATCTTTCTTTTTCGTTTGATATGTTATGAGTACCTACACTGTAATATGGGAGAAATTTTTAAGGTTTTTACAATCCACTAAAACGTTCCTATATCAATATATCAAAATTTCTCCCTATCTAAAAGTTGGTACGAAGAAAAAACATTCTAAAATACTCCTAAAAACGGCCGCCATTTTATTTATTTGTATACAATAGAATAATTACTGATGAGGACATCCCTCCCGATGTTTAAACGAGAATACAAACAACATAAAGGTTATCAAAACTGTGATATTACAATGAGGGCTATATTATAGCTGTTTGCATGGTACCTACTTGACCTGCGACCGCTTACTTCATATTCATTATTTTGCATCAATCGTAATAGGTATTTATTTTATCTAGCCATTGTTTCTGTTTATAAGTACTTTTGTTGTTTTCTTGTTGGCCCGTAGGCTAAGGCACTCGCTTCTCACGACAAGTACAAAATTACAAATGTAACTGTTTTTTAAAGTTATAATGTTGTTTTCTCAAGTTTATTTAGACAACACTGGCAAACGGTAAAGTGACTATAGAGTTTGAAACCACCAATCCGCTTTGAAATTAGTGAGCGTGGTTATTAATACTCAAAACTTTCCTGTGTGAGAAGAGGCCTTTGCTCAGCAGTGGGCACTTATACGAGTAGGCTGACGACGATATCCTTGTGTAGGTTGCTTGTTGTCATTAGCAAAAATATCTTTAAAAATATATAAATGCACCATTGTGCCACACACACAAAATAAAGTGCCTTGTTTAAACGACAACATTAGCTGTGTGGAATTTTATAATAGTCTTAAATAGGTAATAAGAAAAATACCACAAAACTCGTTTAACAGGAATCGAAATCGGACTTTATCTATGTTTCCTTCTTAATATCACAACGGTAAAATCCAAAAAATCCGTAGACTTTTCCAGATCATGTAAAAGCGTCTGGGAAGGTGATCAAGACTTTAATACGACTATATTTTCTAATGACTCGAAACTATTATTATTTACATAACAATATAATTAACTAGAAAATTGCCAAAGTAATTATTAACATAGTTACTACAATTTCTCTTAATTGCATCATTCATTATCTAGATAACTTGTACTCACCAACATCATTTATCTACAATGCAATTTGCAATATTATTAATTGCCGTGATTTATTAATTATGTATTTTCTACCTATAGGTTATAGATAGTTTTTTGCTAGTCATCATCATTATAATAAGATTTATTAAATGATGAATACGCAATTTAAATCATCTGTAATCGTATTCAGATATTACCATGAATGCTATATATATATAATATAATAATAGGTATGTACTAAGGTATTCAATTCATGATGCTTATGAAACTCCATTTTTGTATCGATGTTTTTTTTTGAGCGGCTAAAATCATCAAATGGCTTCTTCCACTCTGAGTGAGCCTAAAAGTAGTGCCAAACTTTTACTCATTATAACTAAACCCACCCCTTTCCTTCTGCTCTAGCCATTAATGCGCGAGATTGTTTTCTTATTTTAGTTATTTATTTTATTTTGCGAAAATCAAAAGTAGCATTTATCACACTAATAGAATAATTTACTTACTGATAACATTAACTTTCACCATTGTCGTAATGGCCTGTAGTTTAAAGAGCCTGCTACCAAAGAGGTTGTGTAACCTAACGTTGAAACCATAACCAAAGTAGATAACAAATAGATTTTCTGCACGATGTTATGTACTTTCTAAGATAATTTAGACACCACTATCATACCGCAAAATAAATCTTGTGAGGCAAATAGGCCCATTTTTTTGTCAGGTCTACCCACTCTTTATTTAATATCCTCCTAGGAATACCTCTGCCTAGATTAGGAGGGATAAAATGGCATAGCGGTAACATTAGCCGGGACACTATATTAGCCCGCAATTTATTTTAAGAACTAGTAATTTATTTTTCAACTCCATAAACACAATTATTATCAATACATATAGGATAGAGATAATTATGTAGGTGCATAAGAAAGATTTTTTTAAATAAGAAAATTGTCAAATGTCTTCTCCCGCCCAGTGTGTGGCGAGAGGAAGTGTCAGACTCTTACTGCCTAAAAATCCCTCCTTTCCTTCTCCTGCTCTAGGCCAAGGCCGCGGTGCCGATCCCGCAACCCGAAACCTGGCCCCATAACCCATAATTCATATTATAAGTCGCCAATCTGCCTTGAGCGCGAGTGTTGGTTATATTTCATACATTCACTCTGTGAGAAGAGACTTTTGCTCGGGGAAGAGCAGTTCTAGGCTGATGCTGATGTTGGATAATTTATCATCCACAGACCACAATACAACATGTTCACATTCGACATACGTCGGTTCACGCCCGGTCAAATGTCACGTCCTCATTGGATGAGGGAAACCAGTCATGAAGCCTATGCCAGAAACTATAACATAGTGTTCCCTCATGACGAGCACTTGGCTGGCCGAGACGCGAGCCATGATGCCTTGCATCAGGAGTTGGTGGAGGATGGAGCGGTGATGCAGTCCAGGGCTGGGTGGGAACGACCGGCCTTCTTTTTGCCTGGAGAGAAGGTACGTCAACCAACCCAATAGTTTTTTTCTTTGTGAGGGGAAAATCATCAAATTACTTCTACCGTCCAGGGCCGGGCAGGAGGGAGTGTCAGACTCTTACTGACTAAAAAAACCCCCCTGTTCCTTCTCCTGCTCTGTGCCGAGGTCGCGGTGCCTCATGGCGCTTACCCCGCAACCCCGGCTGAACATCAGCCCTTTAGGGCCCCGTCTGTGGTGGTCTAATGGCTCTTTGAGGAACCAATCCAATAGTGACATGATAATTATTCCAGAAATAAATTACGTTTTACGGTTGTCCTGTCCTATTTTAAATCGAACCAAATACGCGGTTTCCTAGTCTTCATAATCCTTTACCTACAGGAAAGTAGAACATTTAAAAACATAATTTTGTAATTAATATTTGTTTTCAGATAAGAGTACAACAATACGACTGGGGTGGTGCCCACTCCGACTACCCTAGGAACATCGACCAGCGCTACGAGGAGATTCTCAAGGGAGAACATTCCTTCGACTTCTCCAAACACCACAATATTGTAAGTAATCTGAGCTACACAGCATAAAGCAAATGCTGTGTAGTTCTTTACGTCTATCTAGTAGAAGTATTTTTTATATCTTTTTCTTTTTTTTCTTACATAAAACGTTGCCCCACACTAGAATTTTCTCCTGGGTGCGGTTACAAACATATAATTTTACAAACACATGACACCCAGACCCGGAACAACAATTTGTGGATCACACCAACTGTTGTTCCGTGCGGGAATCGAACCCGCGACACACGGCACGGCAGCCAGTTGCCCAGCCACCGCACCAACTTTGCAGTCAAAATTAAATTGGTTATCAAATAAGTTACATACTGCAGTAGGTAACTAAAAAAAAAATTAGTTACCTACTACAGTAGGTACCTAACTAATAACTAAATTACAAAGATCATTCCAATTCAACAGATTCCAAAAAACCTGGAATGATCTTTCTAATTTAGTATTCAATATAAGCACAGCTCCAGTGACCATTGGTTTGTTTATTTAAATTCACACTGGCCAAGAACGGTTACCAAACAATGTTGTTTTTTCAAAAATATAGGACTTAGTAACACAATATTAAGTATATCTACTTTCTTCCAAAAAATGTAGATACGACTAAGTACCTATATAATTAATACTGAAGAAATCTTGTTAACTTTTAAATTGATTTTTACTCCACCTCAGATCGGCGAAGAAGCCCTCGCATGTCGTAATGCAGCCGCTCTATTCAATATGTCATACTACGGCAAGTTCTACTTGACCGGGCCAGACGCGCAGCGCACTGCTGACTTGGCATTCACCGCTGATCTCTCCAAACATGACGATAGGTAAGAATTAAAAAAAATACAGGATAAAATTTTAATGTTCCTTATTCACTTTTTAGACCTTGACAATACGTAAAACTTGGTGAATAGAATTCGAGGGGTGAATAAACGCCCGAGCGGACGGCGCGAAGCGTCGCGCGCGTTTTTCAAAGAGCCAATAGACTAACACAGACGGGCCCCATAGGGCTGATGTTCAACCGGTAGGAGGAGGAACAGGGGGGTTTTAACGCCAAATATCTATTCACCCCTTTTCTGTATTTAGATCCAAAAAACCCTAATATTCTTTTCACCCTGTTTCGCCGGTAACAACGGAATGAATTATCTGAGAAAAGCTCTTCTGGTTCCAAGACACAACGGGGCTTTTATTTATCAGTAGCTTTATTATGAAGGAGGATAATTAATCCTCCCTCATATATTCTTCTCTCGCCCTGGCTGACGCGGGAGGGAGTGTCAGACTCTTTAAGACTTAAAACCACCCCATAAGAACCTTCTCCTGCTCTGTTCTGGAGCCGCCATTCATTTGAAAACAGGTGCCTGGCAGGCAGGCCCTGTTAACACTACTTAAGTAGGTATTATTTATTTCTGTTCTAGGGTAGTTTATTCTCTGCTGTTAAACGATAAAGGAGGCGTGGAAGCTGATGTCACTGTGAGCATTCTGGATGGCGGCACTGGTGGATTACATGAGCCTATTTTCAAGGTATGTTGACCATAGCTCAATGTTATTAGCGAATAGAACAGAATAGAGGACGAGAATTATTGTACTCAAACAAAAGTACCTTAATACATTTTATTACAGACTATTTTAACTTTGCACCAAGAAATGGTGTGTTATGTGTCACATTACTAAATAATTACTACGTAATCTCTGTGTGGGAGAGCCATGCTTCGATACGAACGGGTTTGATCTACCGTAATGATAATATCACAGTGGGTGATGATATCGTGCTTATAATTCCGTTATATATTTTTTATGTAGATTGTCTCCGCACTATTGTAATGGTCAAAGTAAATAGTGGTTAATACAATACATGTGTGTTTACATATTTATATTTATATGTAAACACACATGAGTCCACTCTGCATCAGCAGAGAGTCCTTGCTCAGCCACAGCTCTGCTACAGCTTTTATTCGTGCAAATTATTCTTCCACGATCCGGATATTTCTGGGACCAGTCCGATTAAGTGTCAGTCAATACGAACTTTAAACCTTAATAACCTTTTTTCAATTTCGTGGCAACTATGTTATTATTTTTAATTTAGGGGGTCCACCTCAGGTGGGACGGGAGGGAGTCAGACTCTTACTCACTTAAACCCACCCCGTTCTCCCAGTCTGGGAAGCTGGGCCGCGGTACATAAATGTGCTTGTTCCCAACCCCGACTGAAATTACTTTCCATAGGGGAAACTTTACATCCCCCAGACGTTAACTCTATTTTTACTTATGCATCGCCAGGGCCGTGGTTACTACGTGGTGACGAGTGGTTTCAGTGCCAACCACACGCTGGCCCATCTTCGTCGGATCATCAACACTCACAAGTTGCGCGCCACCATCACTGACGTCACAAAACAGATGTGCATTCTTAGTGTTCAGGGACCTGATAGGTAAGTCAAAGTCAAAGTAATGTCAATGTCAAAGTCAACGTCAAAGTCAACATCAAAGTCAAAATCATTTATTTCAATTAGTTCCTTTTGACGTTCAAAAGTGCATGTAACCCTTACATGCACTGTCGTTTTTTTACTCGACTTGCAAAGGAAGAGTTCTGTTTTTTGTTTGTACCAATCCAGATCATGTATTTATGTAGCAATATGACTTATTCCGAGCCTTTTAGAGAGAGGGTTTGGACCTTTGACTACCTACTATTTAAAATCCATAACCAAGTACGTACTTCGAAAAACGATTGTTTTACTTTAAATTTTTGATTGAGATTGCAATTTATGACATCGTCATATTTATTTACTAAAATAACCTGCAAAAGAAGAAAATAAATTACCTATAAGTTGTAAAGTGTAAGTATTTGGTTTTGGTTTTTCGTTGGGCTTAACATGAGTATCATGAGTAATTTCGTCCACGCCTCCTTAATTGATTTCGCGATTAAAACCAAACTAATAATATATTATAAATGCAAAAGTAACTTTGTCTGTCTGTCTGTCATTTCTTCACGCCTAAACTACTAAACCGATTTCTGTGAAATTTGGTACAGACCAAACATCTGCAGCAAGTTACTATTTCACGCGATCGGAGTCGCGGGCAAAAGCTAGTTTATTAAAAAAAGTGTATATTACAACTAATATAATCAACTGTGACTTTTTCATTTCACTAGTGAGTCGGTAATAGTACTTAGATCCAAGAAATAATAATAGTAACAATCTTTGTCCAACAGCCAACGCATTCTACAACGCTACACCGACGCTGGTCTCTCCAACGACGCGTTCCCAGTGAACACACATCGAAGCATTCACGTCACCAAGGCAGCTAATAAGCCCGAAGACAAACGCTACAGGTGCAGGGCATTGAGAGTCACATGGTCTGGAGAATTGGGTTGGGAATTGCATGTACCGTCCGCTCATGCCATTCCTGTGTATAAAGCGCTGAGTCGCGCTAAAGGATTGAGGAATGCTGGCTGGAGGGCGCTCACGTCTTTGAGTGCGGAAAAGGTTTAATGTGATTTTAGTACCTATATCGTAATAAAATAAAGACTAAGGTCCTGTTTCATAATGTTTGAATAGCCGATGTGTCAGATAAGTTTGAAATTTGAAGCTAAACGACGACTTTCCAATTTCTTTCATTTTTGTGTGACGTGTGAGGACGTCAAACGAGCACGCGGATTACCTGATGGTAATCAATCAGCGCCGCCCATGAATACCTGCAACAACGGAGGTGTTACTAATGCATTGCCCACCTTTTAAGATGAGAAGGGTCTTAGGGATTTAGGGATTGGGGAGGGGAAGGATTAGATTGAAACCTCACTAACACGGCGAACCACAACGCTGTGGTTGTCTCACGCCGGTTTTCTGCGAGGCCGGTCACTCGTGCCGAAACATGGCTCTCCGACACTAAATATCTATTACAATATTTCTATCCAAATTAAAATTTTGTTAGACCCGAATTTCGGTACCTTGTATTCGGTAGATACACTGACAATTTACCATATTTTACTTACGCACCTAATTTAATAATTTTAAATAACTATTATTTCAGGATACCACTTGTGGAACTCCGATTTGAGAGCAGATGACAACCCTGTAGAGGCCGGTCTAGGGTTCGCGTGCAGAAAAGATGGTGATTACATCGGAAACGAACATGTTACCCGAGCAAAGGCTAATGGAGTCACTAAGAAATATGCATTCTTCACACTAGATGATAAGGTATTTAATAAACATTTGTAGCTATTCTTCTTTTAAAGTCGATTAAATTTGGCCTTTTCATCACTTCTGGTTAAGTTTCCGTTTGTGTAAATGAGAGATAATTTCACATATCTTTCATAAGAATTGTGTAAATTAAGTTCACAGAAATTAAATAGGCCTTAATGAGATAAGTTCATAAGTATATATTGGCCCCTTAACTAATCTGTAGACTTCAGATAATTTTATAAAATTTAGGATATCAATTGTATTTTTATTAAATACTGTGTGGTATAAGTCGCTTAGCGCGCGGTATTCGCGTAGGATTTACCCTATTGCTCTTTGCCATGATATAATAATGAAAAAACCGTTGCTAACAAATACATACCTACTAAAATGATTATATTTTTTCCAGGTGGCAATCTTTGGACAAGAAGCCATATTTAGAAATGGCGAACCCGTAGGCTACCTAAGAAGGGGAGATTATGCTTTCTATCTAGACAAACCAATTGGTATCGGATACGTGACTAACAAAGGTGATCTAGTCACCAAAGATTACCTGAAGGAAGGCCATTATGAGATTGAAGTTCTAGGAGAGAAACACAAAGCTACATTGCACTTGAAATCTCCTTTTGATCCCAACGGTCAAAGGTTACTTGGCAACTACGGTCCTCAAGGCATGGACGAGAATACTCATGAACCCCATGCGGGACAAAACGAAAGAGCGGGCGGTAGTGAATAAATTCCTTAGTAAATAATGATCTCAATTTTAATAAATTTCTTTATAGTGTATTTGTATTGTTATTGTTCGTTTTATTTTACTAACTTCTCTAATTAGAATAAATTACCAAATTACCATGCTATTGTTGCCTTCCCAAAGGTGTGGAGGTAATTTTTTATTGGACCCATGGACTATATATATTAAGTGTCAGCCGAAATAAGTACCTATCTATAACCACAGATACTGAAGAATATTAATAATACCTAATTTGAAAGGTATCACTTTGATGGCAGAAGATAGTTATGATTTTTTATTGATTTTAAAGTTATTTTATTCGTAACTTGCCCTAACAATAATTATATTATTTATAAAAACAGAACACCATTTCTCTCTGATAAGTTCTGCATGCGATGTAGCTACTCGAACCATATGGATCCCGGCAAGGCCAGTGCCATTACTGTACGGATTTAATAAGGAACCTTCTTTTTGAACTCGCTTGATGTATATCGAAAGTGGCAACATTTTTTAATAACTGTCATGACATACTTAGTTGTTTTTGCAAGGTTCCCAATTTAGGGATCTTACTTGTTCAAATGGAATTTTTATTGGGGCCTGCATATTAGTAACGTTATTGTTTTATACCATTAGAAAACTATAAGTAATTAAACCTTTAGAAAATTTATAGATTATAAAAAATTGATTTAATGAGACTTCTTGTTATTTAAATACCACATATAATGCTTTAAATTTCTCTTATCTAGACGTAAAAATATAAGTAAAAAATAGTAGTAGGTATACAACTTTTTGAATCCTAATTATAATATATAATACGGACTACCGCAACAGAGGACTAACGAGTGCGTTGCCGATCTTTTGGGGATTAGGCATTTGGAGATGTAGGGATTGGGGCGGAGAAGCATTGGGCCTCTGGTAACCTCACTCACACGGCGAAACACAACGCTGTGTGTTGTTTCACGTCGGTTGTCTGTGAGGCCGTGATACCACTCCGGCGAGCGGACCCATTTGTGCTGAAGCATGGCTCTCCCACGCTTATAGACGTTATTCTTTTACGCAAATCGGTAGTTTGGTTGAAATTTGGATTAACAAATAAGTTTCTTATAAATATACCATGAGGCTGAAGCCGCGGGCGGAAGCTGGTTTGTAAAATATAATTTATTATTTGTCATTCATTTGGGAATTTTGAGAGGTAACCGTAAATAGTTTCGTAAGTTGGCAACACCGAAAATGTCACACGAACTCTTTTCAGGTTAGGGGTTGTTTATTTATTTATTTATTGTTGTGATTCCAGTAAAAGAGGACGTTCTAATAAAATATATACCTAGTTTAAAATTAAATATATTATATAAGTGAATATGTCAGTAACATTGCATACAGACGTTGGAGATATTAAAATTGAATTATATTGCGAGCAATGTCCAAAAGCTTGTGAGAATTTCTTAGCTTTGTGTGCTAGTGACTATTATAACGGATGCCTTTTTCATAGAAATATAAAGGTAAGGGAATTATTACTTAAAGATACATACAAATAATATAATAATACTGTTATATACTACTAGATACCTACAGGTCTACAACCGTTTCAAAATGTTACTTCTAACCTAAACTAAAATGTTGTTTATTTGTTTCTAGGGCTTCATAGTACAAACGGGAGATCCCACAGGCACAGGGAAAGGTGGGACATCAATTTGGGGACGTAAATTTGAAGATGAATTCAAAGAAGAGCTAAAGGTATGTAAAGTTTGATGTTGTATTATAAATTTAATAGGAATATGAAGGTAAAATGAATTTTAACTTAACCAAGCCATTGATTTACACCTCGCTTGTGTTTGCGTGGGATTAAAACACTTGGTTTTACTGGAATAATGCTTTCCTTTCTTGTATAGTTGCTACCTTCTGCCGATATTCTTCTTGCAGCTTTATTTACAGTACTAAGGAAAAAAGTAGCATGAGTTAGTTTAGACTATAATCTCTAAGTCAAATCACATTCAGACCCACTCAATAGTTTTATAGGAAAGAGTAACACATCCCTCTATACAAATATTCATGTTTATATTATAAGTAGGATTGCACTAAATTACTACTCAATGGCATATTAGAATGTGTCAATTATTTCCTTAATTATCATTAGTAGATTAATTACTCAACTAATAAATTATATTATTTTCCAGCACAATGCGAGAGGAATGGTGAGCATGGCTAACAATGGTCCTAACTCCAATGGCAGCCAATTTTTCTTCACTTATGGAGAACAACCACATTTAGACCTAAAATACACATTGTTTGGCAGGTAAGACATAAATATTTGAATTATTTAAAATACCACATGATTGAATTATAAGCAATGAAATGTGACTTCTTGTTTTTTAAATACCACATGTAATGATTTAAATTTCTCTAAACAAGCCACAAAATGTTTCTCTTTGAATGGAGATAGTATCTTATCATATACATTTATTTCATATTAGCAGCCTGTCCCTGTTTCACACAAGTCTCCAACTATCTCGTTAACGATGCGGGGCCCCATTCCCTAGATCTCACCTCTACTTTTCTTAAATTTTTATTCTAGAACCTTCTCCTGACAGTAACAAACACAACAACAAAAAAAAGGAATTGGCAAGATTGGCCCAGGTGTTGTTGAGTTATATGCTTACCAACACATTCTGAGATTCATTTTTTATACATATTTAAATATGTAGATGTGGATACAAAAAGATTGACTGAGAGTACAGACACAACATTGTGGCTTAAACCAAATTCTTTAGTGTAACTATAAGCTATTCTATCTTGATTTCGAGTACAAATTACACCAGGGTCTGATAATTTAAACTAAACAGAAACACCCATTTATTTTACAAGTAACTTAGACTTCCTCATTAGTACGTCAGAGCTTTCCAATCGCAGCTCAAATGGATAGCCTTTAATAACACAAACATTATGTGTACTTGTATATTGCACTTAGAGCCTTTATAAAACATTATCAAGGATATAATCAAATTAAGGAAAACCATTTAGTTAACATCATACCTATTTTTACATACATTGTATTTTTAAATATAAATACCACATGGTTATTAATAGTATTGTTTTCATGAAATAGCTTGTAAAACCAGCATACTGTACAGATCGCCTGATCTGATCTGATGTTGCCATCTAGGGATTATTTTTTGTAACACTGTTCTTTTCTGAATTTTAATACTTTTCTCTCCTTGTTCCAGAATTATAGATGGATTTGAAGCACTGGATGATTTAGAAAAAATGACTGTCAACCCAAAGACCTACAGACCACTCACCGAAGCCAAGATCACATCAGTTACTATACATGCAAATCCATTAGCTGGATAACAATAAACAAATTAAAACATAATATGGCTTTTACTTAATTTTGGAAAATGGTAGCCTCCCTTTGGATAGAAAATAAGAACAAAAAGTACACAATCAAATGTTTTGATATAGGTATAGGACCTCTTTTTCTATTTTTTGAGGAGCTAAATTATTATAATGTAATGAATCTCTAGCCCTGGATGGAGTGAAAGGGAATATCAGATTATTACTAACCCATTGTGTCTCCTCTTGAGTGTAGGGCTTCGGTACATTATTTAATTTTCACCTGCAACCCTGATGGTAGCTATATATAGGTACAGGATCCATTAGGGGTCCCTATATTCTCTCATGTCCAACTGATAACTTAGTGTATTTTATATACCAGTAACTTGTCAGACCATTGTGAAACAAATTAAGTTTCATAAAGAAAATAAATTCAGTGCTAAAGGGTAAAATAAAAAATAATCAAAGAAGGTTCTAAGTGGACAACATTTATTGCAGATAAAGATTTACATTATCAATATTTGCATATTTTGAATAAATTGCATTTATAAGTACTATACAAAATAAGGAGGAGCAAGACAGTAATCTCTTATTTTGATGCAATTATTAAGATTTATTGCCAAGTGATAGTATTCTGATAGTTGTGCAATACTCAGTGATAAAATTGATATTTTTTTTATTTTGAAAGTTTGCAAAATATTGCTTTTTTATATTATCATTTAGATAGATTTTACAAGTACTACCTTTAGAAATTATTTTTATTTACTCTTTTAGTACTAACTTTAAATGCATGTCTTCATTATTTTGAAGTATTTTTTTTCATAATATGTGATTGTAACAAAATTAAATAAAGAAAAACCACCAGGGTGAGTGGTGGTACTTTTAAGTATAAATTGTATGCTAACTAAACAGTCATTATAAGTATTTTAATATTAACATTTAACATATCTACAGTTATCACTTGATAAGGACAGTGTTTGTGCTCACTTATTTAATAATGCTTTTAATCATGGTACACTTATATAAATTGGATAAATTAGAACTAGACATCTTTGGAAAAACTAAGAGTCTTAATAGTAAGCATGAGCTCTCAATATTTCAGATCTAATTTTTATGAATAAAACTTTATATTATAGTCACTACACAATTGTTCACATCCATTATAGAGACACAGGCCTCTAATGCTAAAACCTTTTTTGACATTACACAAGTTTCTAATACCACATATCTAATAAGAGTTTAACTTATGAATAACAATGACAAATAACAAAATAAACATAATTTTTGGTAAAACAATTCCTCAATATGAGAAGCTTTCAATGTTAAAATAATCAAATTATTCAGTTAAAATGTTCATAATAGATAACAAATTCCACATACGGTGGGCTTAAATTACAAAATGGGGTCTCAGACTTTTCATAATATTGAACCATAAAACAAATATATCAAATTCATAATTCAACATTCACAAATGTAAAAAGTACCTTATCCTCAAAGCAATAAAATACCTAACTATTAAGTACTAAGTGAACAATAAGTTACACTGTGGTGCCATACATTAATCAGACAAACTTTATACTACACCTTTTAGTTTCTCAAGTTTCAAGATCATAGAAATTGTCTTCCAAATTAAATTCTGTATCTTCTTCCTTTTTTATTTCAGCCTCAGTCAACTTATCATCAAAATTTTCTGTGAAATGAGATTTAATATGCGCAACTAGATCAGGCTTCTTTTCAAATGTGGCACCACATTCTATGCAAGGCATATTCACAACCAGGCATTCATGAGTTTGTTCATGCTTATCAAGTTTGTCCTTTTTAGTAAACTTTTTGTCACATTGACTACAAGAAAAAGGTTTCATACCAGAATGGAGAGCAGCATGGCGATCCAATTCTCTCTTACGAGGGAACTTTTTGAAACAGATTTTGCATTGAAAGATCCTTGAGCCTATATGTGCAATAGAGACATGGGTTTTGTAAGAATCTAAAGAGCTAAATTTTTTTGGACATTGGTGACATTTAATATTTTTAGGTCTGTTTTTATTTGCCACAGCTTTCTGTTTTGGTGGGGACTGGCTTGTAGTCTTAGAAGGAGCAGAAGTGTTTTTCTGTACTTTCATAAAACTACTCTCTCCTGAAATATGATCTGGTACTCTTGGGAGATCATATTCAGCATTTGATGAATCAGGATGTAGCTGTGTAGGAGATGTCATGAGATTGCTAAAGGGGTTTACATTTACTACCATATCATGAGTGTCTTGATCATTTTCATACTCAGTCTTGCCTGGGCTTAATGGGCCATGTCTCATTTCATGCTTGATAAGTTTATCCCTCCTACCGAAAGTTAAATGGCATTTTCGACAAGCAAAGGGCTTCATTCCTGAATGAACAAGTACATGGCGTTGCAGGTCCCCCTTCGCAACAAAACTTCTAGGACAAAGTGGGCAAACATGAGGTTTGTGGCCAGCATGAATACGAAGATGTTTACTGAGATTAGTATTACGAGAAAAGCTTTTTAAACAGTATTGACATTGATATGGCCTAATGCCAGTATGGACAATGGAATGCTTCCTTAAATCAGACCTTCGGCCAAAACACTTATCACATTCAGGGCAGTGGTAAGGTTTATCATTTCCATGTACTTGTTTAGTATGCTGTACATATTGACTACGCTCAGCAAAGACTAGACTACACTCAACACATTTATAAGGTAAGTTAGGGTCATGGTAATTGTGTTCATGCTCCTTACATTTCTCTTGTGAAACAAAAGCTTGGTCACAGAATTGACACATGAATACATTTTTGAAGAATGATTCTGCCATTGGAATATCACCATCAGGAGTATTATTTCTTTCAATAACCTCAGGCTCCACTGGCTCCATGTTCTCTGACTCCTCTGAGGAGTCATAGTCGAGGCTTGGGTCAACCACCATCACAACACTATCTTCAACAATATAATCTTCAGGTTTTGCTTTTGGACCATCTTGAGAGTGGGATCCATAGTTATAGTTACTAAGTTCTGATGAATTTGAGTTATCCAGCTCATTAGCTCTTGTAGTTATCTGCCTCAACCTGGTCTCACTTTGGATGCACTGCAGTTTGAATTCTGAACATTTATCAACTTTGAACAAGCATTTGTAGCATATTCTATTGGGGAGCCCATCGTTAGGATCGATCTGAAATAATATTTTTCGTTACAGACACGCGTATAATTGTTGCAGAAACTATTTAAAATTGGTAAAGATAATTTATAACTTGCCTGTAACTCGAAACACTCAGCTAGTTTGGAGGTTAAAGAAACATTTGATTCGTCGTCAGGCGCAGCTGCAAATATCGACGTCGCGAACGTACTCTTGTTCAGACACAATCGACATAGCGTGTGGAAATTAGCGATAATGTAAGAATCTTCCATTTTGTGCACAACTAAACATCAGAGGATTGAAACGGTTGAGATAACACAACTGACAGGATATCGACTTTATATTGTTTTTGTTGTTTGAAAATTCACTTTAGGAACACACTGATGTAAAAAATAAATGGGGCTCAGAGGCTACGGTCGTGTGTCGTGACTACGCAACCGCTCGATCCGAAGGGGCAACTGGGGCGATGTCCGCCAGGGCTGCGCTAGCGGAATGTCTCGCGGTATTTGCCGTCGGTTCCGTCATCATATTCAACACTCGACAGTTCGTCTTTTTAATAATAATAATGTTATCGAAAATAAAAATAAACTTGAACTTATGGTCGTCATAAGGATAACGATCAATGTGTAATTTATAAAAATTCAAATTTGAATTATTGTTTGCTACTAAAACCGCGCTTCTTTGGCGGAAATATAGAATTAATTGTTTTCATTAAACAAATTTTCACTAAACTATTTGTTATTGGTGGACTTTGTTCCGCAATGATTTCCACCAATCAACACTCACAACATTCTGAAAAATTATTGCTAGCATGAGAGATAGAACTGCTGTATTTTAAAATATTGCCAGATGATAAAACACTTTATACCGTCACGTATTTTTTTAGTTTTTGTCATGACAAGTTATTACTACAATTTTTTTTATTTATCATTTAAACATACAAATTATATTTTTAAACATTTCTTAAAAATAAAAAACATATTGGCCACAATAGTTCTGTCAGTGATGATAGACCGGTCCCAGTACAAGGTCATGTGACCATTATCAAGGACTGGATCGGGATCATACCTGTAGTACGGCACTTCCGATTCCACAAGGGAGTACTTCAGAGCAAGCTGTTGATGGATGATCCTGGCTACAAGGTTGTGCCTATGCATTACTATTACCAACAGTGGAAATTAAGATTAAACAAATAAAATACAAAATTTCTTAGCTCGCTCTTTTCTCATGAATCTCCTCAAACTATTTAGCTAGCTTATGAAATGTATATATAATAACACATAATTTATCATTGAACACATACAAATGTTTTTTTCTATTGTATTATACAATGGAAATTGGAGCGTCGCGAATCTGACAAGAAAGAATAAAGGACAGTTTTTTTCAAAAGTATTGCCACAGCAAAGTCAGCAATAGTATTTATTTATTTAAAGCTTTGAATAATATAGAAACACAGGCTCTCCCACACTTAATGTGTGGGATAGCCATGCTTTGGCGCGAATGGGTCAGCTCAAAGCTCAAAGCTCGGCAATGCACTCGTAACTCCTACGTTGTTGCGGGTGTCCATGGGTGGCGCTCATTGCTTACCATCAGGTAATCCGTATGTTCATTTGTCGACCTATCACATAAAAAAAGAAACAAAAGGTATTTTGTATTGTAATGATTCTCATTTATTGTTTCATTTATCTAGGTACATTTAATTCCTACATATATTTAATTCGAGGTTGAAGTCAATTGTTTTTGGTGTTATTATTAATTGCCCTTGGAGAGTATCTCTATTGTTGGGCATAGGGAGCTGCACAGCTGACGTAATCTTCATCGATGCACGACTGAGATGATTCATCGAATGAGAGTCCACCTTCACAGCTCAGTAGTCGAGGATGACCCAGCTGGCAGGCGATGTACTGTTTGCATTGGTTCCCGTATCTTTAAAAAGGAAAAGATGGTTAAAAAAAAAACGCCAGATTATGAAGAAGAGCCGAAAAAAAATTAATGAGTTGAGAAAATTATGTTGTTGTACCTGTATTTGTAGATGATATCGGAAACTTTTCCATCCTCATCTTTAGGAGGTTCAGGACAGATGAAGTCTTTGAAAACTGCAAAAAAATTATGCTTAAGTTTGCTGTCTATTTCTCCACACAAATATTGATGTTTTCATGACATCTATGACTCACCAGCAGGGCTGCACTGTGGGACATTGGAGGGCCAGTCACAGCTGCTTATTTGAGGGTTGAACACCAGACCCATCGGGCATTCCATGATAGTAGCTGCTCCTTCTTGGCACATGATGTACTTGCTGCAGTCACCGTCTTTAATAGCGTAGTAGCCGTACTGATTGGGACATTGGTCGGTTGATTTTGGAATTTCTAAAAGGAACAAAGAAATTGAAACATTTATAAAACAAAAGCTATAATATTTAGATGGAGTCTATGGCTGGATTTTATTTTTTTTTCCTTTCTGGTATTCTTGGTCTTTTTAGTGATATGATGAAATACTTACGTTCCACTGCACCCGCGCTACATTTTACTTCTGATGGGTAAGCGCAAGGGTATTCAAAACGTCTTGCTGCAGGATTGAAGTGTAGACCATCAGGGCACAAGTATTTATATGCTTTGTCTTGCTGTAATGTGATAAAGGTAATTTTAGAAGAAATAAACATCGATTTAGATATTAAATTGTACTCTCCAAAAAGATTCGTCTGATAATAAAATAAACGTGTGGTTACCTTGCACTCGATGAAGGCATCACATTCGTTGGCAACCGCGTAGTAACCATTTCCTTCTTTGCATTGGAAGTCTAGTTTTAAGTATCCCGATGGAAGTGTCACAGGGTTCGGGCGATAAGTAACCGGTGCGGGAGGATAGGTCACCGGAGCTGAGGGATAAGTGACATGTACTGAGGGATAAGTGACGGGTGCTGGGGGATAAGTGACGGGTGCTGGGGTATAAGTAATTGGTGCGGGGCGATAAGTGACTGGTGCAGTGGTATAAGTGACTGGGGCAGGGGGATAAGTGACGGGCGCTGGAGGATAAGTGACCGGTTCTGGGGGATACGTGACAGGTGAAGGAGGATTTGTGATTGGTGGTAAAGTAGGCGGTGCTGTTGGTTGCTCAGTTGTTACAATGTAAGACGGCGTTGGATAGTAAATCGAAGGGGTTACAGGATTTCGGACGAAAGCAAGTTCCCGAACGTGGTCTGGCTTAGGAAGCAGTGGCGGTAAAGGCTCCAACTTTGAAGGTAGAGGTACAGGAGGAACATAAGCTGCTACACGGGTCTCGGGAATTAATTGTTGTTCAGAAAGAGGTACGATTTCTTTTTCTGGCTCTGGGACAGGCGATTCTGGTAATGGAAGGGGCTTTGGTGCAGGTGCAGGAGATTGTACATAGACTGGAGCTGGTTGTGCAATAGGTTCTGGTGCAGCGGGTTGTTCATAGACTGGAGCAGGTAAGAGAATTGGTTTAGGCGCCGGGGGTTGAACATAGACCGGTGGAGGTAGTGGGATTGGTTCTCTTGCTGGTGCAGGGGGTTGAACGTACACTGGAGCTGGCAGTTCAACTGGTTCTGGTTTAGGGGGTTGTTCATAGACTATAGCTGGCTGGGGAATTGGTTCAGGTACAGATGCAGGGGGTTTTTCTGGAACTACTGGTTCTGGTGCAGGCGGTTGCTCATAGACTGGTGCTGGTAGGGGAATTGGTTCAGGTGTAGGGGGTTGTTCATAAACTGGAGCTGGTTGTGTAGGTGCAGGGGACTGAATATAGACTGGTGGAGGAAGTGCAATAGGTTCTGGTGCGGGAGGTTGCTCATAAACTGGTGACGGCACTGCAGTTGGTTCTTCAGCTGGTTTTGATATTGGTTCTTCAGCTGGCAGTGCAATTGGTTCTGGTGCGGGGGGTTGCTCGTAGACGGGTGGAGGTAGTGGAACGGGTTCTGGTACAGGTTCAGGACGTTGTACGTAGACTGGTGGTGGCAGTGGAATCGGTTCTGGTGCAGGTTCAGGGCGTTGAACGTAGACTGGTGGTGGCAGTGGAACGGGTTCTGGTGCAGGTTCAGGGCGTTGAACGTAGACTGGTGGTGGCAGTGGAACGGGTTCTGGTGCAGGTTCAGGGCGTTGAACGTAGACTGGTGGTGGCAGTGGAACGGGTTCTGGTGCAGGTTCAGGGCGTTGAACGTAGACTGGTGGTGGCAGTGGAACGGGTTCTGGTGCAGGTTCAGGGCGTTGAACGTAGACTGGTGGTGGCAGTGGAACGGGTTCTGGTGCAGGTTCAGGGCGTTGAACGTAGACTGGTGGTGGCAGTGGAACGGGTTCTGGTGCAGGTTCAGGGCGTTGAACGTAGACTGGTGGTGGCAGTGGAACGGGTTCTGGTGTAGGTTCAGGACGTTGAACGTAGACTGGTGGTGGCAGTGGAATGGGTTCAGGTGCTGGTTCTGGCTCTGTGACCTCTCGTTCAGGTTGAATTAAGATCTCTTTTGGAGGTGAAGAGGGTAAGACTATTACAGGAGGTTGGGCAGGCTCTGGAACAGTAGTCGGTTGCTGGTCTCCGTAGTTAATTGGGAGTGGATGTAATATGTTCCGGTTGGGCTTAACTGCTGGAGAATATACTGGAGCTGGGGCTGCTGCTACAGGTACACCTGGTACGCGAACAGCTGTCCCTAGCGGCCTTTGTGCGTAAAGAGCTTCTGGTCGCTGGTCTCGCACGTTTGAGCTTCCATAGTACTCGTATGCACTATTCACTTGTCCAAATGTCACTGTTTCATAAAAAAAGTTCACAAATGCTTGTAAATAGAAGAATAAACTTATCGAAACTATATAGTACAACAATACAGACATAATGACTTACCGCCTACCAGCAACGGTAGTATAAATATCATTTTAGTGCGTATCATTTTTGGTGATAGGATGCACCAGGTGCTCTCGGAATGACAGTACGCACCTCACTGTATTTAAATGGCCTACTTTCCGTTGTTTATAAATGGAAATTTATGATAAAAACGATTAAAACCATTAGGATCTAATCGTTTTTTTATATGGTTGTTTTAGTTGCATTCATTGTTAATGAGGAAGTTACAAAATATGCGGCTAGTCCTCATTTGTGAAAACTGTTATTTTTTATGATTTTTGAAGGCACTCTCCATCTATAGGAATACTTTAAATCGGCGTATTAATTAGTAAATGCCTAGAACTATTAATAGAATATATTTAACGATATGGTTAATGCTTTTGTGGACAGTTAACGACCACAGGCGTCTAGATAACTAAAAGTGATACAACAGTATGCCTGTCGACGTATAAATTTTTACTTGCATAAAATCAGTACGCCACAGAACGACCGATTCTTTATACACACAGGTATACTGTAGCAGGCTAAGCACTCCTCGAACGTGTGCTGTGCGGAATTCAGGTCACCTCTCAGGTGGCCTTTCGCCCAATCGTATTCCGGTACTCGGGTAACGGTTAGCACAGTAGCTCCTCAGGAAATCTCAAGGAGTCGCGCTCCCTCCTTTTCACTTTCAGTCTTCGAATTGCTTTCGTAAGAAATTCAGTTGAGGTAACCGCTTATGCCACCGCTCGTTTTCATGTTGCCTTTCCTGCCGTCTTAGCTAAACGAATGGCACTTCTTGGACCCTACTGCTGTTTTGGCGGATTGTGGGTATTTTCTAGGTGTGGGAAACTGGTCATAGACCATATCCGCCAGGGAACACAGCGGCGAAAACCGAGAGAGCCTGGCTAAGGAGAGTTGCCCCCTAAAGATTAGGTATTCTAATCTAATCCATACAATAAACGCCAAATTTTCGCTCTACAGCGTCGGGCTCGTCGGGCTTCTGACTACCCAAACAAGTGCCCCATAGGACTACCCAAGTAGCATTTTGTTCCATTTAAGAGTACACATTTAGTTCCAAAGTGAACTTAAAGCATTACTACAGTTCACTCGTGATGTATTAGCTGCATTATTGCAATTAATTACACCTATACCTGTCTAAGGGACTTATAGGAGTGTAGAGTAATACTTTTATACGATTATGGGTGTTATAATACTCTAACAACTGTCCTTTAGTCAGCTTTCTGACTAAGAGCATTATAGGAGGGTAGAGATATGGCAACCGCTGTTTAACGGCCTACTTGTTCGATGTTATAGAGCTAGCATTTTAATAGAACACTTGTGGTCATTTATAAAGCCAAAGGCTGTTATGTTTACTGGTTTTAGACTGTTATACAGCCAGTAGCTGCATTAGGACTTGTTTGTGATACTTAAAATAACCTTTTTTTACTATCTGTACAGAAGTATTTAAATGATTCACATGTGGACTATAGGCTGTTAGAAGGACTATATGTGTTGTCCGTTAACATCAATAGCAGTTTATTTGTCCACAAGTACTACTCTTATTTGCTGTAAGCTGAACATGAATGTGAATGTGATATTCTATTACACTTTTTCCCAAGCGCCATTGCAAAGTATGTTTTGACGTCACATGCAATAAAATTTGTGAAAATGTATAAAAAATCTTGGAAAATAAGAGCAAGAACCGGTGGTATAAGAAGAAAAATTGCAAAAGAATATTTAAAAATAAACAGTCGGTTCGATCGAGCCCGTCGATAAGGCTTCAACAAGTGCGACTTCAACCGTTGTTGGTGGTTCCGTACATGATGCAGAAGAAAATATTATGCCTGAACCTGAAAGTTCCCTTCAAAATATACAGATATCAGAGAATAGTGATTGCAGTTCTAGTGATAGTGAATACAATTTTGATTTGGATAATTATTTAACCTTTCGCAAAAAAATAAGAACATGGGCTATTGAAAATCGTATTCCTCATTCTGCTTTGAATAAATTGTCAGATATAATAAACGAATTTAAACTAGGAACACTACCGTCTGATGCTAGAACATTATTATGCACTCCCGTTAATGTCATTTTAAAAAATGTAGGAGGAGGTCAATACTGGCACAATGGGATAGCAAAACCTTTGAAGAGCATTTTGCTAAATTGGATGGATATTCCAGATATGATTTCAATTAACACAAATGTGGATGGTTTGCCTATTTTTAAAAGTTCCACAAATGAATTTTCGCCTATATTAGGTAACATTTTTGAAAGTCCCAGGATTCGGCCTTTTATTATTGGAGGTTGTTAAAATTTGTACTTTAGGTATTCATACTTGACTATTAGTAACTGGGCATTTAACGGACATTAATATTTTTTATTGCGGATCTCTAAAATTTTAGTATTTGAAGAAAGAATTAAAGATACACAATTGTCCTGAACTACATCTTAAAGCTGTACATAAGTTCACATTAGAATAAATTAATTGACATTGGCGCTGTAGTAGTACAAATGTGGGACTTCATATAGATAACAGCATTCTAACAGAACACATGTGAACCTAATATACGCTCACCGCATTAAATAGGAGTTATAACAGTTCACATAGCCGTATTTAATTTCCACCATTTTGTTCTACGTAACCTAAAATATTTACCAAATAAATCTACAAGATTAATGCAGATTTATCACAAAATACGCAGATAGAGCGAATGAGTTTTGGTTGCATGTTAAAATTAATTACCGTAGTATAATTATAATGCCAATAAAATATCAAAAACTGAAAATGAAAATTTTCCTCTCAGCCAGTTTTAAATATTTCAAAATGAATAAAGCGTTTTTACAGAGGCGCGTGAAAATTTTAGTTGTCAATATGTATACATTTCACGATAAAGTTGCATTCCCATGGCATTAACGTGATATAGTATATAAAACAGGTACTTTGACCGCGTGTTATATTATAATAATAATCCGCCGGAGTTAGTTTGCCCCGAATCCGTGTACTCCGTACAATTGTCAAACTAATATATTGTGGAAATAATTTAGGACACAAGTGAATTTAAGGTAGCTCACTGGAGTACTTTTGTCCGATTTTAACTGTGAAGGCTGTGTATTTAGCCACTTCTTACTCTTTATTACACTCATGGACGTTGTACGGTTCACACTGCGTTCCATATAGTGCCGTAAGTCAGCCTTAAGTCCGATGTTACTACTTAAACTGCTATTATAATGCTATTATACTTCTAATGTACAGCCATAGTGAACTTAAGGCTGTCTAATTTGTGCCCAAACTGGTTCAATAAAAGCATTATAGCAAGCTATACAGCTCATATACAGCTGACATACACAGCTTCTAGAGTACATGTGAACGACATATAGACGAGTATATATAGAACCCCGAATGCTACTTGGGTATCGATTGCATGAAATCCAGATCATGCGGTAAACTTTTTCTCGAGGTAATCAAACCCAGTCTTTGTAGAGCATTGCCTTCTCGACATGTTCTTCAAAGTCCCACCTATCATCCAAGGTTAGGTCTAGATATTTTATGTACCTTCCTACTTGGATTTGGTCCGCTATTATACTTGGCTCGCTGGTTATCGGCTGCTTGTGGAATTGTGGTGCCTTAATTTTGTGAAGCGCTATTTCCAGATCCCGGCCGCGGAGGCCAACATACCGACATGCATATTGATAAGACAACATAAAGATGGTTTAACATAGCCTAGTGATCCGATTGATAGAAAGCGCTCTCGTAGTCGATGTAACCCCTGAACTTGGCAGAAATAAAAGAGTGGGAAGTCCTTCCAAGGTCTAAAATAAAATAATAGTTTAACTTTGCATACAAAAGATTCAGAAGTCAATAATATGACTTATATTGATCTACTAGCTTCCGCTCGCGGCTTCGCCCACGTGCTGTTTTGATAAAAAGCATAATTATAGAAATAGAACAAAATAGAAGTATACATAAAATTTGTTATTAATCATCTCATTTTTATAGTTCATTTCCAATGAGTAAGAACCCTATTACTTACTGAGTCTCTGCTATCCGTCCGTCCATAGATAGAATGGTACGGATCTAACTTCATAAAACCTATGTTTTATTATATTTTGTACCGCGTCACGTCAAGACCGCTACCCGTTACACAAAAATAATCCTTCAGAGATTCTGGGTTAACGTATGCGACGGCGCGACGGCTTATTGGCGAGCTGCTAAGCTATCAGGAGTTACACATGATATTGTGAGTTAACCAGAAAAGATAGACATTATGCTGTAAAACAATATTTTTTAGATAATTTTATGTATTATTATCCCTTCACTGCTCTGCTCCTTTTAATTAAAGCGTGATGAAAAGTATACTATAACCTGCCCAGGAGCATAAAGAATAATTGTACCAAGTTTCGTTAAAATCCGTCCAGTAGTTTTTTTTTTCTTTTTTTATTGATTATAGGTTCGCCCTTGACCGCTATCTCACCTGATGGAAAGCGACGATGCGGTCGACGATGGAGCGCGCTTACCTAGAAGTAACCTTTTCACTCTTGACTTAAAGATACCCAGATTGTAACTATCAGGAAACACCGACTCCGGCAAGGTATTCCACTCCTTGGCTGTAGGTACGCATAATGAATGTGCTCCCAAAACGTTTTGTACGTATATGTGGGACATCCACCATGTACCGATGGCGCAATGCCGTACGTCTGGTGGTCCGATGATGGAACGGGCTAGGCGGAATTAAATTATGTAATTCCAACGCACACTCCCCGAAATGCAACCGGTAGAAAACCGACAGGCTAGCAACTCAGCGTCGATGCTCAAGACTTTGAAGTCTGGACTCGACAAGTGCATCATCGCCAATGATCCTCTTGGCTCGCCTCTCAATAGACTCAAGCGTATCAAGTTGGTATCAGGCAGATCCGTCCCAAAGGTGAGAGCAGTACTCCATAACCGATCGAACTTGCGCCTGATAAAGTTTAAGCAGCTGTTCCGGCGTGAAGTGTTGTCTAACCCTAGCGAGGACTCCCAACTTTTTTGCAGTCAGTTGAGCTTTTGCTTCGATGTATGGCCCAAAATTGAGAGTAGATGTCAGCGTTATACCAAGAAGATCAAGATGGTCAGTTATCGGCACGGATACACCCCGGAAAGTTAGAGCAGGGCTAAGTTGACTCCTTTTACTGGAAAATAGACACGCCTGAGTTTTAGCTGCATTGAACCTGACCATGTTGGCATCGCCCCATTTAGAGACAGCCTCCAAGGACAAGTTCAAGCGCCCAACCATAGCCTCTCGAAGAGTCTGGATCTGTGACTGATCTGTTTTTGTTTCTATCAGACAGACATACAGACATACAGACAGATAGACAGACAGACAAAATTTTATAGATTACATTTTTGGCATCAGTATCGATTACGAATCACCCCTGATAGTTATTTTGAAAATATATATCATGTACAGAATTGACTTCTCTACAGATTTATTATAAGAAAGAATAGTTATATAAGTCCAAATATTGATACATGCAAATCAACGATGGCCTTAACCAATATACTTCGATGAATTAACCTCAAAAATCATTCCATTGACACAAATCACAATCGTCACTCCATTGAGGCGTCTACATTGGAAATAATATGGCCATGAACTTAACACAATAGATAAATTAATAGATTAAAGTCCACATATGTAGGATAGCCATGCTTTTTCACGTATGGGCCGGCTTGACTCTCAGTATATATTGTATAGTCTATGGGCTCGACCGCAATGATACCACGGCCTTACAAAAAACCGGCGTGTACAACAGCGTCGTGTTTCGCAGTGTGAGTGAGGTTACCGGAAGCTCAAATCCCTTCCTATCCCTCCCCAATTCTTGAATCCCGGAAACCCTCCTGGTGTTGCGGATGTCCATGGGCGGCGCCAAATCCTTATCTACGGTCAGGAAATCAGTATGCTTGATTGCCGGCGTATCACAAAAAAATTACCAAGGCCCTGCTTAAAATAGCATATAGAATAGATAAATTGAGTTTAATATTGTTTAATGAATGTATTTATTGAAAATAATTTGAATTGGCCATTGTAGGTATTCACGTGTGATTAGGATAAGGTACCTCGATTTTTTACTTTTAACTTGGGCGAAGAAATTTTTTTTTTAATGAATAATATAATTATGCTGAAAATGCTTCTTATATTAGCTAACAGGCTTAATCCATGTAAAAAATTACATAATGCATATTTAATTCTACAATGGGTGGACACTTAACAACAATCCAAATTTTTTTTTTCTAATAGTCAATTTTTTTTTATAATTGATGTACAGTATGATTTTGTGGCTTTGTGTTGTGACGTCAAATAGCATACTTATTACTTGGAAATTAGCTAGAACAATACGAATATTTTAATACATCGTAGAATCAATGAATGAAACTGTCATTTTTAAACACTTTGTTGTTTTTAAAAGTCTAAGTTATTTATTTTTGTTCTGAGTGCTTAGAATAGGCACCTACATACTTATATTTTAAGAAAGATTCGCTTTTTTTAAAAAGGAAAATTGTCAAATGACTTTCCCAGGGTGAGGCGAAAAAGAGTGTCAGACTCTTACTGACTAAAAACCACCCCGTTTCTTCTCCTGCTCTAGATCGAGGCCGGTGTACCTCATTGGACTTGCCCCCGAACCCTGGAAGAATTGCTCAGACCGCGTTTACTTACGAACACGCACGCGTCGCGTTGCGCGTCGTACATTGCGGCAATAGACCGTTTTATAGACCTCGCAAAAACAAAATAATATGAAGATAAGAGTAATGTACCTACTATATGACGGGCGCGCCGCGCAATGCACCGCGTTTCCGTAAATGAGATTTAAATATTTTTTTTATCTGTTGTTGCTGCGTAATGTCTAGCTTAATTAAATAATACATATTACTTATGTAATAAAATAGCAATTATCCTGTGATCATATTTTTATTGACTTATTATTGTTTTAATAATTATTATTACGCAAGTAATTGAGAGTAATAATTTAAAGTAGTACTAATCTTTGATGTTAGGTAAGATATACCTATATCTTCTATCTTCTTTCTAAGTGGGTAATAGAATGGAATGATGAGTTAAGGATAGGGATATTTATAAAGGAAAATCTCAGTCCAAAGAAAAAAATTCTCGGGTATAATAAGAAAAAAATCAAGTGTAATTTTGCAAAGAAATATTTTTATTTAAACTTCAATTTAATTGACTATTTATTTTTTAATGGCTAGGACCACAGTTGACGTATTCAGCTTCGATGCACTGGCCCGAAGCGGGATCAAAGGCAAGACCTTCATCACAGGAGAGTAACCGCGCACGTCCCTTCTCACATGAGAAGAAGTAGTAGCAGTTATCGTTATATCTGGACATAAAAGAAAACAATGATCAATAAGGTATAATTTATGTAAGTTTTATAATAGAATACATAGCTATAAAGCTGATTTAGAATAGTTTTCTGTAAGTTATTGCCATTGTCATGATTAATTTCTCTAAGTTGCCAACAGATGTCACTATTGTAAACAAATGAAGATCGATCATTTTATGTTGATTTGGATCAAATTGAAAATCATTGTGAATAGTGTTGACAATTAAATAAAAAGTTTTACTTACTTGTAGTTAAGGACGATATCCAAGGGGGCACCGTCAGCATCAACGGGAGGTGCAGGGCAGGAGAACCGAAGGAAATCTGTAATGTAATTAAATTAGTAACTTGTACTTTGGCTGTGCAACTACGCAAGTTGGCTGAAGTGAGTAAAAAGCGTCAAACATTTAATGGTGTGATATTGATGTAGATACATTTACATTCAAACGTCTGAACAGACCGACTTGCACGGGGGAAGTGGTTTAAAAACAATACATAATACAAAAAATAATACATACCTTCAACTTTGCATGAGGGGACCTGGTCAGGCCAGTCGCACCGACCGGATTCAGGGTTGAAAGCTAGACCAGTGGGGCAGACCATTTCCAGTGCCTGGCCACCGACACACATGCGGTACTGGCCGCAGTTTTCCTTGGCGAGGGGTGATGGGAAGTAACCGTACTGGTGAGGGCATTCTGCTGTTGGCTGAGCTGGTTCTGCAAGAAAAGAAGATTGCTGTTAAAGTTTGATTGAAATTAAACAGGATATTTATAATCTTTATCTAACAATGACCCGTGCAAGTCTATTCGTCGTAGCTATTTTGAAAAATGAATTGTTTTGAATGGACCTGCAAGAAGATTTTACACAAAATGCTGTACAGACACAAATTGCTATAAAATAAATAATTATAACGTTTTCCTGATAATTTTGATTCTGTTACTTACGGGAAGCACCACGGCCTACACAGGGCACATCCATGGGGTAGCCGCAGGGGTAGCCAGGCCATTTAGATTGAGGGTCGTAATGCAGACCATCGGGGCAGATCATTTCAATGGCTTGGTAATTCTGTGGAATAATGACAAATAGTTATAATTGAACTGAGAAAATATTCTTAGGAGTAAAAAGAAATACTTAGAATTAGAAAGGTTTTCTAAGATGTATTTTTTCTGGATCTGTTTAAGGCGTTTGATTGTGTTGATTATTATGAGAATAGAATTTGATGATCAATTTTCTATAAAATTTTATTCCTCTCTATTATTGTTGTATTCTTATGAAATTGATATACTTACAAGGCACTCAATGTAGGCGTCACAGCTAGCATCCACTTTGTAGTATCCATTTTTCTGTTGACAAATGGGACTCCGAACACTCAGAGCCTCGGGGATTTCTGCCAGCATTACCTGAACGTTGCCTGTGTGGAAAAAGTATGAGGTATTGTAACTTAAGCTCAATTATTTGTATTTGTATATAGTATTAAGAGGGAATTCTAAAAATTGCTTACTAGGATCACTCATTGATTTAGAACAAATTCATTTTTAGGTTGAGAGAATGTGTCGAGATATAAGATTGTAACAAGTAAGTATAGAGCCCAATTGAGATGTTTTCGTAAACTTAGAGTTTGTAAATAATTTGAGAGAGAATTAAAAGTCAGACTGTAAAATTATACAAAAGAAATTAATAATTTAAGGACAGAAGGTCCGTACTAAACAAATAATACTAAAACTGATTAAATACAAGAAATGATGATTGGAAATCAAAAGTTACTTACTGGCAACGATGAGGACGGCACAGATGTAGGTGAACATTTTGTTTTTATTGAAGGTACTGTTGTTCCTTGAATGCCCAATATTGAAATGGTGACGATAACCTCGACACACTTAGTTTTTATACCAAAAAAATGTCATCAAAAACTAGTACTTAATTGTCATTATTAGTTAATTGCAAAGAAAAGTTGCATTGCTGTGGTAAAATCAATTGTGATTAAAAACACGTTTTTATTTTCAGATTATTTATTGTATGTTATAACAAGACAATACAATTTTGTGGTAATAGGTACCGTAGGTCATTTTGGTACTGGTGTCATTCTTTTGAGAAGACAAAGATCAAAACAATGCTGTAGTTGAACATATTAAAATACAAAACATAAAAACTTGTAGCTTAAGAGGTAATGCTTAAGATATGTAGTCTTATCCTAAATTCTTAGTGTTACTAGGGCTTGATGGCCTGGTACAAAACTTGGAAGATGGTAATGTATAACAATACAAATAAAAAACAAATTGCGTACTCTATAACACATACGTTGGTAACTCAAATGTAAGTTTTAGACTAGAAGTAATTTTGAAACAGGGTTGTCTCAAAATGTGCATCGGGGATGGCATTTGATGCTGTTGTGAGATTTACTTTAATTTAGTTGAATTGGTAACGCCTCTTGTTTGTCGTTTTGGCGTTGAATTCCAGTTCTTTGGCGAGGAGTTGTTTTTCCTCCTCCCTGATGCGGGCAGCTTGGGCTCTGAGTTCTGAGGGGCAGGCAGCGACTTCATCGGCTGAGACACAGGTGTTGGTCAGGTCATCGTAAGCTGTGTTGCTGCCACAGAAGAGCACACGGGGCTTGGTGCCGATGCAGAGGAAGTATTTCTGGCAATTGTTTTCCGCCCTGTAAAATTAAGGTAGTGTTAGTAAAATTGTTGGTAAGAGACACTAAGTGAACATATAAGAGTGTATGTAAGTGATTCCAAATTCTGGCCTTCGTAACACATTATAATAGTATCCAAAAAACATGACGTTAAGTCATTTCCTTTATCCATGTTTAAGATCGAGTTATACCTTACATAACTATCTGGGGAGGCATCAGGCAATAAAAAGAAGTCAACGCTATTACCGTAACCCTAATTCGAGATATCTTTAAAAACTTGCCTTTTATCTGGGAAGTGATCTCAGAACTCTATCCTAAGCTATATAATTTGTTCAACAAATCAGCACCCTAGTTTAAACACATTAAAATATTATATGATCATGGAAATTGAAAATCTATTTATTCGCCTATAAGAAAATTAAATACCTACTTTAGATATACTTACAGGTAAAAAATCTTGGACAAAACGAATTAAAATGCATGGAAGTTAGCTATGTCACCGAAAATATGAAATGTAATTTAAGTACACACATTTCCAATTCGAAAATATTGAAGTTCGAAACTAAAGAACAAATACTAGTTTAATGTTTTAAACGAATCTTAAAGATGAATATAAAAAAAAAACTCTTCATTCAATCCGATATTTTGTCCTTGCATTTTTAGCTAACGGAAGAATCTTGTGCATTCTTGCATCGAATTTTTAATTATCATTATTAAATCACGAAGGAGATGACGACTCAGAAGTTAGGCAACAACTAAATATTTGACATTGCCCGTCCGAGGTCAGTTTCTAAGAAATATCGTCCAAACTCGAAATAAAACAAGATGGTATTTGATTGATTAACAAAAAGTTGAACCGCAAGAATTTGTAAAGTGTGTAGGTACCAACTAGGTATAAGTATAGGTAATATCATTTGAATATGGAAAGACAGAAGTGCATAAATTTATTATTTCTTTACATTGTCTAGGACTTCTCATGTTTTCTGAAACATTGGGTCTTTTTTGGGACATCTCTAGTCCAAGGTAAAGAGAGAGAGAGACTGTCAGACTCTTACTGACTAAACTTCGTGTCTGTCGTGGTCTATTGGCTTATTGAGACAGCATCATAATGCTTGAATATTTATTTATTTAAGCTCTTGCACAGACATTTGTGTACAAGGAGGTCTTAATGCCACAGACATCCAGCCATTGAATATTGTGCTATTCTTATGTTTGAAGAAATCAATCGTGCACTACCTGACACGAGCATCACTCAGAAAACAAATCATTAGTAATTTTAAATTGCAATTTGAACTCAATTCAAAGCAGATAAAGTCGCAAGCCCAACTTGTGCGTCATAAGAGGACATGTTAGCAAACCGCTGCCTGGTATTTCTAATAACGAGGTTATATAAGCAAGGTCACAGCTCTTCCGATGACATTTAAGCGTACGCCGCTGACCGGTCACCTATTAAGTAACCAGTTCTTGGCATTTCAATATCTATCACTCTAAGAATAGGTGAGTATTTGGTATATAAATTAAATATTGCACACGTTTGCCAAATTAGTTTTGTAGGTGAGCAGTATATGATGGTATGAAAATGTCATTTTCCCTGCCGATGATTGTCGACTAAGGGAATAAATATTTATCAGGTCAGGCAAAAGCGTTCTGTGGTCGTTTTAAACTGACTAGACTAGATCTTCAGTTGGCTTGCATATCTCTCTAGATTATGGCAAATAACTCTTTTTTAAGGGAAGCTCATAATCCATAGCATAGCATCTTCTACCATTTGGCAGCTGATGGTGGTCTCACAATAGTTGTGGAAGATGTGGATGATGATCGCACATTGGCACATATTTCGTAATACGAACCTGTAGTATCTGAAGCCGGCGGGGGCACCCAACTCCTTGGAGATAGGGACCTCGGGGCAACGGAATCCGAGGAAAGCTGGAAGAAATAAGATTTACATAGGTGTTATTAAACTTGATTGGAGTGTTGACTTATTTGTATAATACTATTTTTCTTATTTGAGTAAAGTGTGGCACTGATTTTTTAATCCAAGTAGATAGGTATGTAACCATTGTCGTGGTGTCATGGTGACCCAGACACTAAAGCGCCCGTTCCTCATTCATGAGGGTGCAGATTCGAAAACTGGCATGTACCAATGTGACTTTTTCCGAGTTATATGTACTTTCTATGATTATTTAGACACCTCTGACATACGCTGAATAAAAACATCGTGCGAAAACCTCTAATTATACGTTTCAAATGACCAACCCGCCTTGGGCAAGCGTGGTGATTAATGTTCAAACCTCCTCCGTGTGAGAAGAGGCTTTGCTCAGCTGTGAGCACTTATAGTCTGGTGAAGAGATATGCAATGGTACTTCACGAGTAGCAACCAGTTTCTTTAAGTTTGACTGTTAAATATTTTGCGTTTTTTATATAATACATGGCACAAAGATTACAAAGTAGACATAAAACACTCACATATTTTGCCAAAGAAGGTATTTGCTACAAAACATAAGGAAAACAAAGATCTTGCTGAAATTGAGTTGTGTGCATTAGTAAGTATTGGAATTTTACGACATTGTAGCTAGAAACATTTCACAAGTGGCAAATATTTTCACAACCGGGACGGTTAGCGCATCACTTGTTTATCACTTAGGTAACACGTGTGAGGAAATTATCAAAAAGGTTCAATTAGATAACAAAAACGAGAATAATAATGTCCATATAATATATTATTTCTTGTTACGTGAAAGAAGATGCCTGTCTCTAATAGATGTGACAATTAGTGGCCAGTTTGTATCCGTGTGTTCTGATTTTAACGAATAAATATCAGAGGAAATAAACGTAATGTAATATGCCCAACATATTTTTTTGAAGCTAAGAATACGGACATGCTCATTTTTATTCTATGCTAAGATAGGTGTCGTCAAGATTACGAGAATACAATACCAAAGATCAGACCAACAAGGCATTAAAATAAAAATAATATTAATAAAACAAAAGAAAAAAAAAGAAAATTTAAATATTAAATAATAAAAGGGGGTTTCTAAGCCCATAGTGGAATCGTAAACTAGTTTAACTACAATTTTGTCTAATTCACGGACAAGGATGCTCATTAGAAATTGAAATTAGTGAATTAATTTATAATTACTGCACGTGCAGATAAACTGGTCTGATGGGAAACTAGTTTAGGGATGATCGTGTAAAAATAACTACCCATCTATAATAAATGTAAATTATAAAAGTATGATATCATAGTCTACAATGTTACCATTCCATAGCAAGCAATGCCGAGGGTTAACTATTTGTAGATCATCATCAGCCTATAAGTGCTACTGCTAAAAAGATATCTTCTCACACAGAACGATTGAGCACAAATTACCACGCTTGCTTAAGGAGGATTGGCTCTTAGAAATACTGAACTCTTTAAATAGAAAACTTCTACTTACTTTGATTCAAATCTTTGATTTATTATGATGATAGTTAAGACTATTAATCCTTACCTTCAGCATCACAGTCTTCAACTTCATCAGGCCAGTCGCAGCGGTAGGAAACTGAGCTCCAGGCAAGACCCTCAGGGCATTGGAAGTCGTAACCTACACCGTTGACACAGTTTCTGAAGTAGCTGCAGTTGCTGGAGTCTCCAAGTTTGAAGTATCCGAACTGGTGCTCGCACTGCTCAGTAGGCTGGGCAGGCTCTGTAATGTATGAAAACGTTGTTGATATACGACGGACCAGGTTGTTCTACAAATGGGGTTTTTTACGTCATAGGTAGGCAAATGAGCTACCTGATTACCTGTTGCCCTCCAATGGACATTCCTAATACCAAAGGAGGTGCAACTACAAGCAACTGCAACTACAAGTGCCAAGAGGGTTGTTAGGGATTTAAAGATAAAGGATGGGCAAGAGTTTGGCCTCTAGTAACCTCACTCACACGGCGAAACACAACGTAACGGTTGCTTCACGCCGCGTTTCTGTGAGGCCGTGGTATTACCTACTTCGTAGACCCGACCCATTCGTGCCGAAGCATAGCTCGCCCACACTTTAGACTAAGGTGTAACGAGTTTAGGGTAGACGTGCTTATTATCCGTTACAAAGGACATCAATCAAGATTTGACAAAGGTCCTCAATGAAGAGTATTTATTAAACAGATGCATCATTAAAAAGTTGAAAAGTTTTCTCAAGACCTTCAAGTAAGAATTTTCGTCACTA